AAGAGGAAAAATCCTAAACCTCGGTGGAATAAACCAGCATATAGGAAGGGATGGCTTTCACAGTCTTCAGCTTTACCAGCGGGAAGAAATGTGTTTGGGTTTCGGTGCACCTCCCATGCAGATACATTTTGATTCTTTAAATTTTACGTTGATATTTGTACCAGTTGAGGTGCTGTATTTTTGTTTGCACAGATATGTGGGTATTGTCCTGTGAGTTACAGCTTATATTAGTCTCTCTGTGTCTCTAAGGTTTTGTCTGGGGAGAAGCAGAGCTGCTAAAAATAATAGTAGGGCAGGTGGCTGCAGACAGGTACCTGTTTTATTGAATGCTGTAGGAGTGATGTGGAGGAGAAGACCAAGGTGTGGATTGACTCCTACAGCATTTGAATGACGCTTTACTTGGACTGTGCCACGTGGGGTCCAGGCTATATGAGGGGAGATGTATAGATCTGATCACTCTCATGAATATTCTCACTCAGGTTAACAGAGAGGGAAAATGTCCTACGGATGTTGCTATGACCACAGCTGTTGGTGGGGTGGGCGCTGGAGATCATGGTGCAGGGACCAGGGTAGTGCTGCCACCCAGCACAGGCACCTCAAACAGGGCACCTTGCTCAGCTGACATCTGGGGTGGCCAGCAGCTGCTGGCAAGTTGGTAAGGCCTGAGCAGAACGCTTTTATTTTTTTCACCCAAAAAAGGAAATACTGGGAAAAAGTGATATTATCTGCAGGAATTGCTTTTCCATCAATTTTATTTAACTAAGAATGAAAAACCACATTAAGCATAACTGAATTATTCTATGCCTAGCATTGCTAATAGATCACTGGAAAAACTGAGTTTACTTTAGAGTATTAATAAATGTACCTGATATTGGAGATGGAACTGTAGGGCGCACAAAAATTGCATTTAAATATTCGAGCCTGCTGGTATGCCTCTAAAGCAGGACAAAGTAAAGCCAATGAAACAGCAGACACCAACACTGGTGATCCATAAACAGAAAATCAAGTTATTTCTGTAGAGGTCAAACCAGAGCCCCAATATTACAATGCAGGTACAGAGGGAACTTGGGTTTCTATAGAAAAGCTTCTAAATCAGCTGCTGCTTCACTGAACACATACATTTTCATGTGCACACCTCGTGGATGTACACAGATGTGAATAGCATTTGGGTGTACAGTACATAGGAAATTATATTATTCCTAAACTTCTACTATTTGACAAAGTAAGTTCATTTTTAATGCTGGGGACATTTCAAAAGACTGAGGTGTAATAACAGCACTGAGGCGAACGTTGCTCTGGGTCTGGCTGGAGAAACAAAGCAGACAAAGCAAAGATCTGCGGGCAGGACCCGCAGAGCTGCTGTCCTGGGCGTGCAGGGGAGGGGTGGTCCTGTGGGGGGGTGAAAATGGGGGTCCCTCTGACAGGGCTGCACCGTGTCCCCCACGCTGCTGCCTGCCTCCGTGCTCCCCTCTCACCTGCCTGGGGCATTCCCCCCGCAACAGACCGCATGACTGCATTTTCTTAACCATAAATAAAACACACAGCAGGAATTTTGCAATGTATCTGGCTCTGTGCTTTTGAGAAACTATATGGGCTTTTTAAAATGTTTTATTAATTTGTAATTTTGGAAGGGGGATAGAGGAGAGTTCAGAATTAACTACGTGACTTGGAAGCCCCAGATTTGCCACGTTTTAATCCCCAATTGTAATCTTGTCCCTGAACCGATTTTGTTCAGAGTAACTTTGATTTAGCCCTTGTGGTGTGTGTAACAAATGAAAAAAAGGTCTTGACACTAGGTCTGAAATTAAGTTTTGACATGTTCTTGGAACAGTGTTCGGGGAAAAAACATTTAAAGAGCTGAGAGAACCATCCAAATGAAATTCAGCTTAAATCTGCAAGTATTGGTGGGTAACCCTGTCGCGTTCACCTTGGTGCTGGTTACTGGGGCTGCTGGTGTGCTGCTGTAACAGCTGTCTCTGAAAACATGGTAGGCAGGGAACAAAAACAATTAAAATACGTGTTGCACTGAGTCATCTTACAGTACTCAGCAGTTCTTGGTCAAAGTTGTGAAGGATTTTAGGTATTTTCCACCTTTAGCACACTTAAATTCACTGTTCATGGCTCTCATAACAGTCTCCACATTAATGCTATTTCAGGGCGATCAAGAAGTCACTGCCAGAAAAACGACCATATCAATGACCATCTTATTTCCCCCCAGAGCAGCACTGGGCCCTGGGGTTTGTCCCTCCTGGAGGGTAATTCACTCAAATAAGTGTGAACCACTGTTGTGTGCTGTTTGGTCAGTGTTTACAGATGTCAGTGCCCGCTACTGAAAGTGCAGGCGGCAGATATTAAGGGAGGAATCGATGCGCTCCACAGAAATCACACCAGGCAGGGTTTGGGTTTGGGTTTGGTTTCTGTGTGCTGCCCTGCCAAGAGCAGCTGCTATTGATTTCAATCCCACAAGTGTCTGACCTCCTTTGTACAGCCCAACTTCTCTATCTTCACCTTTTGCAGCTGAATTCGTTTCGCCTTGTACTTCCCACTTTTACTCCATTACTATGCTACTTGAAAAAAAGTAAAATCAATACAGTTTGTTAATTAAAAAAAGGAAAAAAAAACAACAAACAATCTCTAACTCTGGACCAAAAAAGCCACCCTCAGGTGTGTGTGGTGATGGGGGTGGCCTGACCCTGCTGGGGGATTCCAGCAGCACCACTGGGGGGGCACAGGCCCAGCTGACCGCAGTTAGGCATAAAAGCTGTGTCTCTGCTGGTTTTGATTTGCAGGTATGTACTGGGAAAGGTGGGAGAAACCCCACCTGATGTGTCGATTCAGCTGAACCTGGTTTATGTTTTTTAACAGGATTTAATCCCTCATTCAGCATCCAATTCGGCATGTCGCCTTCCAGCACGTGGGCCTGATGACTCTCTCCGTAACTGGCTCAGGAGTGAGAAGGTAAGGAAATATATTGCTCTTTTCTCCCTGAAGCCTATCTTAGTGCCACCATACAAGTTTTGTTCTCCCAACCTATTTGGCCTTTCATTATAATATATCATAGAGTTTGTTTCCCCCCACACCCTCAGGGCCAAGATCATGGAACAAACAAGATTCGCACTTACAAGAATGGTACTTTCATCCTGTACCAGCACTAATTAATACTGGGGTCAGTTTCAGTTGTCCCCTATGTATTAGTACCAGCCAGACCAACGTAAAGGCTTGTCCTATGGGGTGGCAGTGATTGAACAAAGTGACCGTGGCTCCATCTGGGCCAGTTAAGTTCCCGTGAGCCTCAGAGTAAGTGATAAATTGTGTGTCTCCACCAAGGGGAACTTAAAACCTGGGCTGAGCCTCTGTGGTTTCCTGACGCTGGCTGAGGAGGTCTCTGTGCAGGCCGGGCAGTGCTGCGTCCTGGAGATGCAGTTGGCTTAAAACAGTGGTTTTCAGCAGTGGCCTGGGAGCTAAACATCCTGCTGCCACTGCTGCTCATCTCCTGTTCAGTTAATAAACTCTTCTCAGCAGAACAACTCATCACCCCTTTGCTTTTCCGAGTGCCAGTAAAGTCAGCGGTTCCCCAGTCACCTGCCAAAACCTTTGGCTGGCTCCATGAGAGCCGGGCTTTCTTCCACTACAAAACCTGGAAGCAAGCTAAGAAGTCAGCGCAGTGCAACACGTTACACAACAGGAGGGGACCCCCCTTCTTGCATTTTCTTATCTATTTTAAGATGGATTAAAAGCCACCAGAGAAGCCTCTCTCCTCAGCGGTGTATGGGCTGTGGGAACTGGGTTATGTGTCCTCTGGGCTGTGCAGGGCCTTGAATGAGGAGTGACCTTTGCTGTCCCCTCCTGCATGTCTTAATCGGCTTTTGTGCAGTACGGGACAAGAAGAAATACCCAAAGTAGGTCACTGGACACTGCAGTACAAAGGCTGCCACCACGGGCTGATGGATGAGCCCAGTAACCAACACTTGCATTATGGCTGCTTTCCCAGCATGAAGAATGAAATCCCTGCTCTGAGCTGGGGTGGCCAGTGTCTCTGTCCCCCTGTAATCGTAGAATGGTTAGAGTTGGAAGGGACCTTAAAGCTCATCTAGTTCCAACCCCCCTGCCATGGGCAGGGACACCTCCCACTAGAGCAGGTTGCTCAAAGCCCCATCCAGCCTGGCCTTGAACATCTCCAGGGATGGGGCAGCCACAACTTCCCTGGGCAACCTGTTCCAGTCTCCCACCACCCTCACAGGAAAGAATTTCTTCCTAATATCTTATCTAAATCTCCCCTCTTTCAGTTTAAAACCGTTATCCCTCATCCTGATAAAGAGTCCCTCCCCATCTCTCCTGTAGACACCCTTCAGGTACTGGAAGGCCATTATAAGGTCTCACCAGAGCCTTCTCCAGGCTGAACAATGCCCAACTCTCTCAGCCTGTCTTCATAGGAGAGGTGCTCTAGCACTGATGCCCTCTAGCACCTAACATCCACCCCCTTTTTCCCCTCTGGGCAGATGGGGGTCCTCAACCCCAACCAGGGATGGCTTTAAAACTGGCCCCTTCAGCTTTTAAGCAAGGATTGGAAATGGGTTTCCATGTAGCTCTTCTTCCCATACATGTGTGTAAGTTGGGCAGCATGGTCAGCTCCTGTGGGGAGTGGGAGGGTGGTGGCGGGGAGGTGGTGGAGCAGGTGGCAGGGTACAGGCAGCAGGAACAGAGTGGCCACCTTCAATGGTTGCTCAGGCAGAACCACACCAGGTTGGTGGCTTTTTGTACGGGGGGTCTTCAGGTATGAAGGGACTTGGGTGAGCTTTCAGGGATGGTGGTCTTAAAGTTAGGTAGCGGCCTGTCTGGGAACATGCACTTCTTCAGGCCAAGATGGTGATGGAACCTGCTGCAGGGTGGAGTGGATGTGGCTGGGGGATGCTGATTGTTTCCCCTTTATGTGGAAGGTAAAGGTAGCTTGACAATCCACGTTAGAAAACACAGTGGTTCACCCAGCAAAACTACACACACAGACAGAACTATCTTCTTTATTATAAAGATACACTATGAGGAACAAACCTGAATGTATACTGAAGCTTGTAATGGTACATGCCAAAAATGTACAGTACTATACATAAAAGTGCATTGTCACAACAGATTAACAGTACATTTCTCTTCCAGAACCGTGAAATTTCCATGTTTTTATTTGTTCTTTGAGAGTGGAAGGAATGCGATGGGAATGCAGCCATACACAAACAGGGAAGGATGCAATGGAAATGCAACAGTACAAGAGCAAGGCTAAAGCTCCTCTAAAATTTAAAGGCACTTTCACATGTACATACTACAGATGTACATTGACACAATTAGGTAACAGTCAACAAGCAGGAAGCTACCAGTACTGCAATTTATCAAACTTGACAGTAAAGGACAATACTGATTGGATTAGGTGTGCAGGAGTTACCCTTTAGTACGTCTGTAGTTGTAGCAGTCTTTCCTGTTACATATCCACTTACTATACTTTTAAGTATCTATAATAACCATCAAACTACACATTTAACTGCGTGAATGCACTAAGTGGATGCATTCACTAAATGCAACTGTTTCTAATATTTTCTTTTGCTAAACAATTTCTAATATAAGCATTATGGAGTCCAGTACAGTTATTTAAACATACAAAATTCCCTATGCAATTTAAAGATACAGGTATCCATCTCAGTTATGCCGGGTGGGTTCATTTAAAAACGCTAGACTAAAACTGCACGGAAATGAAAGCTGAAATTCCAGTTTGTTCCGCTGATTCTACTAAACTGGGGGAGGAGGGAAACTACTGCTTGGAAACATCTCTGGTCCCGACCAGGCGAGCAGCCCCTATGGCCCAGCACCGGCCTGCAGCTGGGGCCAGGCTGGCAGGAGGGCCCGGGGGTCGCTGCGCCGCCGGCCGGGGGGGGATTAAGACTTTGCCTCTAACCCAGATGGGGGTGAAGGCCGTGGCTGGATTGAGATGGGTTTGCCAACGCCAGGAGCTCTTTGACTCTCAGAGGCGGTTCATGGGGTGCTTCTCACACCCGGGGCCTGGCGTCACCTACCCATGGGGTGTAAACCAGAGCAGGAGCAAGTTGCTTCCCAATATCAACAAAAAATTACTCCTGTCGCCTCAGTAGATTTGTCTATCAGTTCCCTCACTTCTCTTCCCCTCCCAAACTCAGTTGTTTCTGTGTAGCGAGTGGTACAACCTCAAGCTTTCCAAGTCAGCTTTTAAAAATAACATGTGGAAAGACAGATATTACTTCAATCCTTGTACCCCTCTAGGTGGACCACAATGGATTTATTCCCCCCACCCACCCCCTGGTCTTCTTCACTGAAACTTATTGTATTGATGGGATGTCGGAAAACATATTGACAGAAATACTATTATGGCTTACTGTTGGGATGTGCAAAGCAGCTGTACATTTAGTTCACGCCGCAGAGAGCGCTAAGCCAAGGCGACAGGCGTCACTCGCAGGGACGTGAGGAAGTGCCGATTTCTGGCATCTAACGGAAAAAGGGGAAGGGGAGCGAGGGGGTGGAAAAAGTGGTTATGGAAAACTTTTAGTCAGCTTGAATCCCGGCGGCAGGAACTCGTCTGCCTGTCCTGCAGGAGACCCCTGCCTGGCTGGTCCCTCGTCACAGTCCCTGTCCTGCTGCCCTCAGCATCGCTGAGGGGGCGACGGAGCCGGGTCAGGGCGGACACTAAAATCGTGTCTTTAATTGGACACGGGGCAATAAAGTCAAAGGGATACTTTGCTGAATTACTGTGTAGTTGATCCTTTTAATCACCTGTCAGCCGGCCTAATGGACTAACAGGTTCAGGCACTCCCCAGAGCCTGGCTCACTCAACGATGAATTTTAAATGGATTTAGCTTTTGTGAAAAATGCGATATCAGGGAATGAAGGTCTAGCTTCACGGGAAAAGGTACACTGTTACAGAGGACAGCAAAAGGAGTTTCTGGAGATGTGCTTTAGCTGTGACCTGGAATGCTGCTTTTTATTGGTGAGAGCCATGTGATCTCCAGATCCGTCCGGCGCTTGTCTCTTGTGAGACTGCCGACAAGAAAGCAAAAACTCGGTGCCAACTGTGAGAGTTGTGAGGGTTTGGTGGTTGGTTGGTTTTTTTTTTTGTGTGTCTTAAGCAATGTGGCCTGAGATGACTTAGACATTCCACACAGACACTTAATCCTCACATGCTAGATTTCAGCTCTTACTAACCTGCTTGAGATTTGGTTTGGTGACCCAGAAATAAGAGGTCCCACCTCCCCTGACCCCCACCCCCACCCCTTAGTTTTGTGCGGGATCTGTTATTGTATAGCTACAGTAAGACTGTGAAGTATGGTACGACGTGGCAAGCTGTTTGTGATCTGTGTTGGTTTTATTACAAATGGTGCAGCATCAAGTTTTCAAGTAAGTCTATGTTTGTTTTTTAAAAGGATGCACAACTGTCCAGTTTTTCTTTTAATTGAAACCATACAAAATACAAATGCCCATGTTAATGTCGCTACTTTCAGACAATACATTCAAAAACACTGAAAAAACAAAGCCTCCTCTCCAGTTACAAACATGAACAAAGGGTGTTATGGAGCCCTGACTTCTATCGTTAATCCATCCCTTCCCCTGGCGTACCCCAGCCGGGCACCGTGGGTGGCTGAGCTGTCTACATTGTGCAAGATTTGTCAGCTGGACCCTGGGAAGGCGGGGAAGGCCCGATGCTCGGGTTTGTTTTTGGAAGAACAATAGGTTTTGGCCTAAGAGCGGGAGGTTTCAGCTGCACTCCCATTCTAGGGGCCACCATGGGCTTGAAAGTACTCATGGTGTCACTGGAAGAACTAGTGCTACGGCGGATCTGAGGCTCGGAGCTCCTTAAAACCACGCTGTGGAGAGGGCTGAGCGACTCGGTGGAGGTGGCAGGGGTGGGGGTGTTTTTCATTTGTTCCAAGGTGTCCAAGACGACATCGGGGGCGTGCTTGGCCGAGCTCTGCCGCTCCAGCTCGCGGAGCTCGTTCAGCGCCGTGTTCATCGTCTCCTCGATGTCCTGGGTCAGAGCACAGAGAGAGCGGCGCGTCACTCCCACTGCTACCCAACGCAAAGCACCAGGGGAGGGGGCGAAAAATGCGCCAGTTAATTTGCCAACCCCCCTCCCTTTAATGAATATTACAGTGCTAAAGCCAATTCCCACCAGATTTATTCGAAAGACACTACGATTGACAAGACGGCAGGTTTGGCTGGACATTACAAATATCTAACTTGTTCACATGAGAGAGTAAAAAGTCAGCTAAAAATGCTACAAAAATTAAGTAAACTAAACCCTGCAAGCTGTTTTATCAAGTGATTCTCAGGACAATGGCTATTTGCTTAGCAGCATTTTTAACGGTGAAGATTTCTGTCATCTCTTGGTACTGACAGCTGTAAAGATTCCAGTCCATTTGCTCTCTCTTAGCTGACTGCCCCCCTCAGCTACTGCCCCAAGGGTTCAGGATCTCTCTTCCCTCACAGGGATTATAAACCAGGTTTTGTAAGGAAATAATGCTTGCGTGTCTGTCCGCTCTGCTCTTCTCCTGTTTCTCTGAGTTAAATTTGATGCAGAAAAACCTGCAAGGCACTGTTCAGTGAGCTTGCCTAAGAAATTTTTTTCATCAGGATTTCTGGCACAAACGCTAAAAGAACGCACCAAGACACTAGTTTACTATTTTTCAGTGGTATTGAGATAAAAAGGGGGTTAAATATCTGGTGTCCCCTGCTTGCTTACAGTAACTCATGCAGTTTCATCAAAGTTTAGGTTCTCTCAGTGCCAAATGACCGCTCGTCTATGCATCAAAAAAACCAGCATAAACCAAACAGCACTGTGTGTGGTTCCAGGAAAGTAAATAAATAACTTACAGTAAAATAAACCAGTAACAACCTTTACACTTTCTAACTCTCTAATACACGGTTCAGCTTTCTAACCCAAACATGGCAGAACCTTCTATCCTTCATCGGAAGCAGAGCTTCAAAGCAAGCATCTACAGTACATTAAATTTTAAAACATGAGTGCCAGCGTTATTGTAAAACACTTGTGCAATCATATTGTACCCTCAGGGTGCCCCTAGCAATCCTGTTACACTCCCCAGACAAAACAGGAGTTCTGAAGACAGTGGTATCTATTTGCTCAAGGGCTGTTACCAGCTCTGTACAACAGACCAATCTGATGGTTGGGGCGATCCCTATTCCATCCTTCCCACCTCTTCCCTGCAAGGAATGAGCCTGGGGAGTGCTCACACAGGGATAAGACAGCCCCTGGCTTACGCAGGTGTAATGTCTCGCACCTCATGTTCTTAGGCAGAACTGCAAGCATCACGTCAACATACGGTGCGAACTACACAAAAACTATGTAAAATGCACAAGACTCTGGAATGTAAATCTGTGCTTAGAATGGCAAAGGGCACTCCTAGCCAGTCAGAGCACTTTTCTGCAAAGCATAATACCAAGAAATAACGGAACACTAATTACATGCAAGTAATTAATTACATGCCAGCCTTCATCAGAACACACAGTTTTACATTGCCGTTGTACTCGTACACTGTCCTAGGGTTCTGGGTGGCAGAGGCAATTTCATTATGGTTTAACAGGAAATAATTGCTTTTTTACTGCTCCTGCAACATCTATCCCCCCCTTGTGCTTCTTCTCTCCAGGATCCTTTAATGCTCCTTCTTTCACATGCACTCTGTTTAAAAAGCTAAGTAGGGTATTCTGCAGCAGTGTACGTGCTCTGTGCTGTGCTATTCACTGAGACTCGCTCCTCAGAAAATCAGAGAGTGATATAAAATAAAAAAGACACAAACCTGAGCTATTGATTCTGGGTCCAGTGGCTTATGGTCATTGAAACCCGTGTACTGACCAGATGATGTAGATCTTCTAATGGGAGGGCTATCGATCTTCTTCAGAGAGTCGTGCCTACTGATGTTAGTGAGACTGCCGTGCCCAGGTCTGCGCCTCCTTTCCGGGCTGTCAGCATTGAGGTTGCGATTTTGAAGGAGGGCTCTGGGGCTGCAGTGAGTTGCCAGGTTGGGGGAACCCAGCTCCATGGACGAGTTGGAGAGAGGGTGAGGTGGGTGTACTGGGCAGTGACCATCACTGCTCCTGCCGGGGCGTCTCAGAGGAGGTGGAGGTTCTGACCTCTTTCTTTGCCTGCACCAATGAACAAGCGGTTAGAGGACATGCTGTAGTGACCCACCATAAGCATGTGGAGAAGCCACTGCTGTGTCACCCGATCTGTGAGCTGTACTACTGAAAACATGTAATGCTCAAGCTTACCTTCCTAAGTACATGTCAGAGTGACGGTCAGTGGGAGAGTTCATGTCCTTTGATGACGACTTGTCCTCAGTTATGGGTCCGCTGCTGGCCTCACTGTCTGCTTTTTGGCTCAGTGTATCTGAGAAAGTATCATCCCTGAACAGAACACACATGGTGAGATGAGAAGTCAGTGAGTTAAGTGTGACAGAGAGCCTCTTGGTACTCCCAGATTTTAATCCCCTTAAGAAAAGCAGGCATGTTATAATGCACTGCAGCCCCTCCACATCTCCAAAAATTGCTTATAATCCTTCTGTTTACTGAGCTCTTTACATTTTGAGTGTAACCTTTCCATAATGTAACAAAGAACTTTGTCATCCTCGGCAAAGCACATCTTAATACTGTAAAACAAGAGTTGAGGGCTGCATTTCTCCAGCCCTTGCTACTCTGAAGTTAAATGTCAGCAATTGCTGCAAAGAGACAGTCAAATTAAAATAGATGCAGCATCATCCATCTCAATGTACTGGGAACATATCCATAAACAAAGTGGCTTAGCCTTGTAGTAGTTTTTGATTAAGAGCCGTCAATTCGGGACAATAAAGACAGAGGCATCCTGCATAGAAAGAAAATGTTTAATCTATCTGAGCCTTCAAACCACTGTCCCATTTGGAAATCACTTTGCTAATTGCTTCAGCATGTATTTACACCCCGCCAAGACCCTTGTCACACCAGCCACTGCTTACATATCCTGCACCACTATGTACTGGTGAGGGACAAGGCCATCGATTCCGTTGTGCCTCCCTTCCCACCAGTCTTCAGATGCTCGGTGATAGAGCAGAAGGGAAGCTCCTTTCTTGAAAGAGAGTTCTCGTGCAGATCTTCCAACGTAGTCAAACTTGGCTATAGCTTCTATGGGCTCGCATTCTGGGTAGGGATGGAAGAAGAACGGATATCAGATTCCACACTGGGCTTATCTGCTCACTTTGGTTTCATAAAACCCATTTATTGCATTTTCTCAGCGCTCATTCATATTGAGCAGAGCTGACAGAGATCAACTGAACTAAGGCAGACTGCAGGCAGTAGTTATGATATGACCCTTGCAAAGAAACATAATCAATCTGTGTCCCAAGTGTGAAACATCTGGGCTGCTTCGCAAACTGCAGAAAACACAACAGCATATTCAAATGCTACAATAGCTGCTGCTGGGAGAGGGGCCTCCGCCTCCTGCTGCAAGGGCTCCCTCTTGGCTGGGGAGTGGGATGGAGGCCAGGCAATGAAGATCTCCGAAAATAAGATGAACAAACCCAGATGAGTAATCCGAGGTCTGAGGAAGCAGTGAGACAAAGGAAAAGTAAATGGGAGTGCCTTTAACTGCTGTGGTGGCAAAGGAAGGAAGACAGGATTTCCCTGTGCACAAGTAGGGATGCGCTGCCTAATTGGGTGAGGGTCCCATCATTCATGTGATGAGTGTGCAGACCTGGTGAAAACCTAGTGTTTTACACAACAGTGAAGCCTAGGGCTTCAATCTGCTTCTTTAACACCCTTTTTGAGTGAGGCAGACAGCTCCAGACAGCCTAAGGATGACTCCTCCACAGGGGCAGTCCCTGTGTGGCCTGAAGCTGCCTAAGGCAGCTCTGCCTGCTCCAACATCCCAAGTTCCTCTGGTTTCTACAGGGGAGGCTGGTATTTTCTGAAGTCACACATTGTTTCCAGCAGTCCTGGCTAATCTTCCCTCGTAAATTCAGCCTTACACTAGTAATGACTCCATCCTGTAATCTATGCTTGGGTCAGAAACCTACTGATGTCAGTGAAGAGCCCCTGCTGAATGTCTGCCTGCAGGTATCTTCAGAGCTGTGCCTAGGCATCGGGGAAACAGCTGTGATTTTAATGACCTCTAGTTTCTTCTGCACAAAACTAAAAGCACCTGAGCTCAAACAGGCTAAAATTCGTTAGCGCAGTCTCAAAACATAAAGAAAAACCTGCAAAATACGGGTTTAAAAGTCACACACTTTGTAGATTCCAATAACCCAGAGTCCCTGAAATGACAAATTTCTTCACATAATTAGAGCAATATTTAGATGGAAATTAACATCTGGGGTAATGACTAGCATAGCAGCTTTCTGTCTGGTGCAAATTAAAATTGCTGAGGTTGTAATTCCCCAAAGAACCAGGCTTGTAATGAAATCCACTGTCCCTTTATGACAACATTTTTTGCAGGAATGTCTTTTTAAAATTAACTTCATCCTGCAGCACGAAAACATAATGATAGCACCTTTATTGAGGTTATAGTTTGCAGCTATTTTTTTTAGTAACTTGCCCAGCCTGCAGAAGGCTGTCTTGCTGTTCGCTGCTTCTGCAGTCACTCTAAGAGCACCCATCAGTGATGAACTGCAGGGTGCTTAGGACTCACAAACTCAGAAACTTTCCAGAGATGGCACACAGTGGGATGGGGAATTCCCTGTTACAAATGCAAAAGTAAGGTACGCTGGCAGAAATGACTTTGATTATATAAAGGCAGATAAGAATCTAGCAAGAAGAGTATTAATCCCTGAAAATGCATCGCTACTGGATGGCTTGCTGGCAGGCATTCCCTGGTGGGTGGGCAGGGGGTGACAGGCTTCTTGGTTTCATGTTTTTAAGCAAAGAAAATGTAAAGATAACATAGAAAGAAACATTCTGGAAGACTAGGAAAACTTCAGTGATACATTCTAATACACAATCTTGTTTTCATTTCTAGATACTCTATCTAGAGTCTATCTCTAATAGAAAAGTACAGATGTGACAAAGCAACTACAGGCACGGAAAGACACTGTTGCCAAACAAAAAGAAATAAAACTAAACACACCTGTTTATCTTGCATGGTGTTTAGGAAGGGGATAGTAAACTGAATGGCAATAATGTCACACTGACAAAAGAACACAGTTTTCACCCGTATCATGCACGTTGCGTGTGGAATTCGTTATAAAAAGGTATTACTGGGATGAGGTAGGATTGAGAAGGAGCAGACGTTTGTATGAGCACACTGTTCCCAGACTGCAGGTAAGTTACGGGCTATGAAAGAGTGGGTCAAGGATTCAGAAGGAAAAGCTCCCAGATTTCAGCTAGCCAGATGCTCACTAATGGGTAATACTTTAAAATTCAAAAAAACCCCCCTCCAATCAAACAAAAAAGCTTTACAGTAAGAAAATCCCAAATTTCCTGTGCATATTTTCCTTTGACATCCTCTGAAGCTAACTGATAATGGGTTTGGGTACTGGATTGATTGATAAACTCCTACACTGATTAGCTATGGGACTGCCCGTTTCTCTGCTAATTTCAACAGACCATATAGTATCCCTCATTTGACTACACAAGTTTTTCTATTTACAAATTAATGGACTAAACTAGAAATAGTTCTCCCTCCCTCAGTGGAATTACACTAATCTAAGTGTGGTGCACGGTGGGAATCTGGTTTTTGTACCCTTCCATCGCCTGGAAGACTCACAGACGTTCCCAGAGGTCTGAAGGCAGTTGCCCCAGTGGAACCAGCTGCATGAATTGGTAATGTACCCGTAATGGATGTGACTTTTAGACATGTTCGTTAGATTGCCTGGGCAACAAATCCTACCTCCTCAGGGAGGGGTGCCCAGTAGATCTCACGCAGTTTTCTTAATGGAACCAGAAATAAGTGCAGACAGGTTTTACTGTTTTGAAAGGGGTATTTTCTTTGCTTGAACGTTGCTTTTACATGGAGAGAACCTTCCTATAGCAAACAGCACTGAGACTGTACTTAAATGGTAATTCACCTTGTTACAGGTCAAGCCTTAACAGTTAAAACCAAAGTACCATGGCAGTTGCTCCTGGAAATAAATGCATTTTGAAAAGCTAAGCCATTTAATATCAAGGTTACCGAATGGCAGACAAGCATTTCCAGAAAAGCAAAGGTGATGAAAGCTAAATTTGGGATCTGTAACTCAAATTCTGTGTGGTACTGAATGTCTAACAGTAAAATTGACAGCTCAGAGGGAAATGTAATTGCACTGCTCTGTCCATACCTGGGGGCATTCACCCACAATAGCAAGAAGTATTTGATGACATACAGGCTCTCACCAGCTATCATCTCTAGTGACTCAGGCAATGGTATGGAAGTGAAAAATTAGGACAAACTGAAGAACTGTGGGAAAAGCTTTCGGGACTCTGTTAATCAGCCAGCTCTGTTTTCACTTTTTTACTCATGACCCCCAAAGTTTGTGATGATTACTACTGCCGTTTGAAGATGCATTATGTTGCAGTGGGCTTAAAAATCAAGGTTTGATGCCAAGTAGAGCTGTCCAGATCCAGATCCAGATCTGGAGCACCAGATGTAGCACCAACCTCCCTCCAGAGGGAGTGCATTGAAGTGGCACTGCGCTGCCCTCCATGCCCCCAGGGCACGAGGAGCTAAGAAAAGAGGGGAGACCATCCCCTGCACTTCTTGGGGGGTTTTGCTGCTGCTCTGCTCTTCCTCAGCTCTCCCGGATGTACCCTGGCTGTCGGGAATACAGTATGTCCTTGAACTCCCTGGGAAGGTGCCACCTCCCGGTGTGTTTATCCTCTTCTGCACCCCATCAGAGAAGAGCAGCTTCACAATTTCTAAGTCCTGTCCTCAGGACAGCAGTGCTCGCAAAGCAAAGCAATGCTGCAAGGTGTTGACAGAAGAGAATTTGGAAAAGTGTTGATCACAGCATGTGCTGCTGAAAAGAAGGAAAATTACTATGTGTTGGGGGCACAATAACTTACAGTCTTACGTGTCCCTGTAATTTTTGTTTCCAGCAGAACTACCACCTCAATTTTTACCCTATGTTTATAAGATATCTATGAACAGTATGATATTAATTGTATGTATGTTTTCCCAGGAGAAACCCATCTGTTTAACTTCCTCAGGAAATTCTCTCTTACTTCCTTTGAAAACAAACATAGTCACCGTTTTCCATATGCCTCCAACAAGAATAAAAAATCTCCATCAAACTGAAGGTAAAGGAAATACTCTAAAAATTGCTTCAGCAAAACATGAACAATATCCTTTGAATCTTTACTGCAGAGGCACTTTCAGGTAAAGGTTCTTCTGCAGCAAAATTACAGATATTATTTTGTGCCCCAGCGTGAGTACAAATGTTCTGAACTTCACAAATCAAATTTCATTTCCAGATTCAGGAGAATGAAGACACTTAAGTGCTTTCCTTAGTAGGAATACTTTCTGCACATTTAAAAAAGACTGAAAACACTACAGTAAAATGAATCTCCTTCCCTTTTCCCTTTCCAGTGATCAACAGAAATAAATGAACACTAGTAACTTTAGAAAGAAACGATTATTTATATGCTTAAAATTAAGCAGTTATGAAGTATTTATATGCTCAGTTATAAGTTCCAGCCTTCTTTTCCCCAAGCTACCAGATTTTACTTCTGCAGACATAATTTCTATTTTAATTTTTAAAAAGTCTTGTTGTTTTCTAAATTGTAATTAGACATTTCTAGTGCTACTGAGCCAGATCCTACAGATGGGTTTATTCTAGTAGGCACAGAGAGATTCACTTGTAGTTTAACTTTATACAAAAAGTAATTCTTATAACAACAATAACTAAAATAAAAAAATAAATTCTTTTGCTTTTGATCATAGCTTCTGGATTATGTTTCAACAACCCTGTAATTCCTATGCTTGGTCTTGCATATGTATACAATGTTTTAGCATAAAATGAACCTGATTTTCAACATTAAAAAAAACAATTTACAGTTATAGAATCTGCTTCTTCCATCTTCTAACAAAGGGAAATACGTAAGTACCACATGTGCGATCAATACAGCAGCAATGCTGCGCCTCCCTTTCTCTCTCTCCACATACAGCTGGCAGTGATGCATCCAGCTTATAATCAATGAATCAATCACATTAAACCCCCAAAGTACTCTTCAGTGGAAACTTTTTGTTTTGTCCACCACAGGTCAATCAGTGACTCTCATAAAGTTCAATATGCAAACTGAAAAATTTTCACCTACTGTCACATTGGTACTAAAAACATTTTATAAAATGAATCGTCTGAAGGACAAACATAAATATATGTGCAAAGAGATGGTGAACGCATGTAATTTAAAGCCTGGAATCTACATTACAAAAATGTGCTACTGTAATGAAAAGCCACATCCATGGAAAAAAAACGGGTTAGAGCTCGCAGGCTGAGAACCAAAGGCTAACACTCTTCTGCACATGATGCAGGCTTCCCAATGTTTATCTCTGCAGCAGTACTTCCCTAGATTACAAATATTTTTGTGCTAACAATTATTTCACTGTAAATACAAATGTAAACACTTCCTTGTGGCACTGAATTAATTAAAAAGGTGTGATAGGGCAACTTGAATTAAATTGCTGGCCAATCTGGTGAACAAAAAGCCAGTTAAATCTTTTAACAGAACTCTGTCCTGTTGACAGCTATTCTCTTTAGGGTTTGTCTCCACCAATGACACAGTCGTAGCACAGGTAGCACCACAACAGGAATGTAAAACTGTTATTAGAACAAGACAGTGATGGGGGAGAGCCCATGATTATCAAGGCACAAGTGATGCACTCTGTGATGCTATGGTCCTGCTCTTCTGGATCCTGCTGATGTTTTAATCTTTCCTGAGCATGGTTTTGAAATAACTGCTTTTGATTGCTGATGAAAAGCTGCACTTCTTTTTCCATGCCCACTTGGGCCTTTATGTCTCAGTTTGGCCATGGGACCCCAAAGTTGGCCCCAGTATATTGAACTGGTGTGTCACCTGCATTTCACTACTTCACTTGTAGTGAAGTAGAGAGACAGACAGATTTCTTCAGCTTCTACTCTTGCTTTGCACCTCCAATGGAAGAAGGAACTCTTATAAAATATAGCTATACTGTCTTGGAAAAATAAAGTGCAATTATGAGTTGTTCACACCATTTAGTGGAGCTGTGTTATAAAAAGACAGTGGATTTAGCTCTACAGAGCTCAGGAAGAGGAACCTACATACAGGCTGACTTGTAAATCTATCAGTATTCCCTGATGCGGGTGCAGGCATGGGTATACATCCCAGAGAGAAGATTTACAATTATTTCTCTCCTATCCTCAGTTTTTCCCCATTTCTGTGATGCCTGCCCACCCAACTGCACTGATAGACTCTGCCTGCCCCTTCTCGCTGCGGTGAAGGGGAAGAGACAGGCAATCTGTCACTGGCAGCTTGTCTACGTGACAAAGCGAACAGGCACAGCTCGAGTGGAACTATTGTTTACATTGTTCTGTGTGCAACGGGACCAGCGTAGCCAGGTTTCCTATAGATACACCTTCCTGTTCCCCTATGGCAACCATCCCAGCTCCTAACCAGTATCCCTTCTGATATCTTTTTTTTAAAAAAAAATAAATTTCCGTCTCTGCTGGAGCTCTTTTCCTCCCCTTTCCCCCTCTCTGCCTCTTCCTCTTCCTCCTTCCACACGTCCTCTGAGATGGACAAGGGGCAGCTTTTGTTTCTGCTTGCGCTAAGCGCACGTGTGCTGGCTTCTCTGTCTGGGTTGCCTGCTGGCCACGTAGGGAGTGAGCTCACACCGCAGCTCTTCTCTACCGATATTCTTAATCCTTCACCTCTAACTGGCTACTAATTGCCAGCAAAATGGTAGTTATTTAGCAATTTTCACACCTCTTTCCATCTGTTACATTTGCTTGAAACCGGGCAGAAGTTATTGGGAGGGACATCTGGAGGATGGTGCAGCTGAAATACGTCACAGTCAAATACACCTTTAGGAAATTTGGCTAAAAAGAATTGATATAATAGGGATATATCAAATTTTTCATGGATATCTGTTGTACCCAGAACTGTCAGAGTATATATGATTAATATTTATAGCAAATGACTATTGTTCAAAAGTTTCACTGTGCTGAGTACACACACGTTTTTCAGCATTTATAAATCCTTTAGACGGAACAGCTTTTAAATTTATATCAAAACACAGCCCACTGAATGGCAAATATCCCTCAGTTGAAATATTTAAAGACATACTTTTGGTAAGTTTAGCTTTTGCAGACAAAAGATAAAGAGTCACTAAAAATGTAACATTATATCAGAAAATAATATGTGCTGACTGAAATAGTTTCTTTCTTGCCCTTCCTGTGACTGGACAAATCAGGAGAGAACAAGGAAACAGCTGGTCAAACACACATGAATCAGAGTGAAAAAGCACACAAACAGAGATTAAAGAAGTCGGCTTTGCTACAGACCACCAGGACTGAAATCCTCTTCTTTCAAATAAGACACAATTAGGAAAGGAAGGAGGTCTCCTGCATGAAACACCTGTAAAACTTATTCTTATCAAAGGCAGAGTAATGTAAGAGACATACCATCTTCACTGGTGTGGGGCTCTGTACTGGCATCCTGGTCCACTTCCTCTAATGTACCATGTTCGCTGTAGGGGCTGTCACTGAGGGAACAAAAGGCCGTGCAGAGAGAGAAACCACAGCATGAAAAGGATGGTTCAGTGGGCATTAAATCCAGAAAAATTAAATTAATCTTTCTTCCCCAGTCCACTGGGGGTAACTGACGTCCTCTATGCATATCAAAAATGTGCCCCCCCCACGAGATTATATAAAGTTATTCTTACAATGTTATAAAGTTATATGCAACATAATTCTCATGACATGCTATGAATACACAACTACTGAAGAAGTATACACACCTCTCTTTCAAGTATTTTCAGTTATTAAGAAGTTCCCAGAACCTTTGAATCTTTTGACTTATGAAAAAGGTCTCTGTGCTGCTAAGATAGGGAAGGAGTAAGGGAAAGGTATCACAAGCTGAGATTTGTTAGGATTGTTCACAGTCAGAAAGCCAGTTTCTGGCTGTGTGCTCTGCATTGTACACCTGGAATTCTGGCTGTGTCTGGCTGAACACAAGGGTAGCTTCCTCCACAAAAAGTTGTAGGGAACCTCATTATAAATGCCTTTGCTTCATGGCTTTTACAGCCAACACTTTCCTCTATGAACCTAAACGTTCTTCTCATTTATCTTCATACTTCTATTGTGTGCAAAAGTCATTCTGTATCATATCTGTATCAGGATTTATCCGGACAACCAGTCTAATGATTTTTGTTAAAGAGACAGAAGGGTAATATTCTGACTTACCAGTAGTCATCTCCAGCCATGCATTTTTCATACACTGGGCCATCAAGTTCTTTAGCATCTGGAAAAATAGCCTCATGATGGATGATGATAGTTTTGATTATCTCATTCACGTGTGCCTGACAAGACACCTGGTCTTGTATGTCTGGAACAGGCATCAGGGTTGGCCCAAAACAAATAGCCAGGTTGTAGGGATCCATCATGTTTTCATCACTGTACTGTGAAAGGCTGTTATAAAAGAAAAATCAAGAAAAAATGACTTTTCCACTGCAACTAACCTTATTCTGAAAATCAGAGAAACTTTATTTTCCATCACAACTTAGAGATTTCCTGTTCCCCTTGACACTTAATCCCAAATAACACAACAAACTAAAAAAAAAGGGGATTTCTTCTATAGGCTATACACATTCTAAAGTGAGCTTACAGCACATGTATGTACGTAGATGGATGTGTTCCTACACTTCTGTGTTTGGTGTACACTGACTTAATGGGCTACTGTAAAATGCATCAACTGCTGCTGCTTCTATCCCATCAGTGCTTATCCTTGGAGGCCCAAGTGGACTGGATCCAAAGTGAATCATGCTTATCATTTCTCATCAGACCCTGATGCATCTCTGCCATCAATCTGCTATATCACTTGGGCAGACTGAACTGTTTTCTGGAGGTAGGTAAGTTCCTGGATCTTGCAAAGGCTCTTGTGACTTCTGGTTTCTGTTTTTCACCATACAACCTAAAATGGCCCAGCACCTTGCCTTCTGCCCGTGAACTTCCACAGGGGTTTCATTTTAGAAGCAACCAAACAAAAAGCTTTGGTTGTTTTTATTAACCAACTTCTACAAGGTATTCTTTCCTCCAGGAAATTCAACATTACTGGTTTTCAATTTTTATTTTAATTGAGAAGTTGCTCCTTATTCACTTGTTAAAAAGCATTAGCATTTCTAGTGGAAATCCTGGCTTTTGAGTGGTTCTGTGCAGGGCCAGTCAAACAGAATCTGAAGCACTTTAGTGCAGTGTTGTTATGCGCTCTGGAGCAGCATATGAATTAGTATGGCTGGTTGTGTTTAAATACAGCATCGCATTCCCTTTAGAAAGGGAATTTTATACAGTGTACATGTACAAACTATACAAACTGAAGAGGCAAACCTTCTAAATGACTCACTTCATAACTAGCTTGTAAAATTAATCATGCTCTCCTCTTTTTTATGGCATGATTTGTTATCATATCTTGTGTGTTAATTGGAGACATTTTGTTCTACTGATTTATAAGGTGGTTCAGCCTTTACTATATTTGTACAAGAATGTGTAAAAAAGATTATCATCCTGAAACATGTGAAGTTCTGCTGGTGGCTGGTAGTACCATGTCATGCTCCTCAGCGCTCAGTATTGGGGCTGATACTACTCAACATCTTCATGAATAGCCCAGACAACAGGAGGGAGTACACACTCAGCCAGCTTACAGATGATGCCACACTGTGAAGGACAGCAGATATGCTAAAGGGCAGGGTTACCACTTAGAAGGACCTTTAGAAGATGGAGGAATGGATGAACAGGGATTTCAACAAGAATGAATGCAAAGTCCTGCCAGTGGAATGAATTAATCCCATGTATTATTACAGTCTGGAGCTGACTCTTAGATATCAGCTCCCAAGGAAAAGCATTGTACTTCTTGGACAAGAACTTGGATATGATTCAGCAGTGTGTCTTCCAGAGATGAAGGCTAGTTACATATGTGTCTGCGTTAGGAAAAGCAAAGCCAGCAGGTCAAGGGAATTGATTATTCCCCGTCCACTTGGTGCTCATGAAATCAAGACTAAGCCTTGAGTGATTTTATCTGACGTTAGAAACTTTGAGCAGTACACTAGACCAGATGAGGTCAAGCCATGAGGTCCAATGACTTCATGTGGCCAAGTTGGCCTAACTGCATATGTGAAAAGCAGAACTGGATTTGTAGAAAGTCCGACTATGGGAATGTTTTTCCTGTGGATGCACATGAGATTTAGCCTGCTTTCTGAATTGCATTCCTGTGGAGAGCACAGATGGAGCTAACATGACCACGTAACAAGTACAGTGTCGCACAACTCTGGCCAATCTGTATGTCTAAGTAGAGGAGAAGCTGCGATATAAGCTTATGAGACATTTACACAGTGTCACTACTGAGGGATGAATTAATGTTTTCAATGAGTGGTTATTTTCATAAAACTTCAGATCTCTGCCCCTCTTTTAAATATTGCTTCAAAGTGGTTCAGAAATTACTAGAAGAAAGGAAAGGGGAGCAGCTGTGAATACAGGCATGCACACGTAACCTGGCTGCAAGGACCTTGTTTCTATAGGAACAGACAGGACGGATGAAATGGGGAAGGTCACAAAGACAGAATGAATCAGCAGAGGGAAAATTTAGAAAAAAAAAGGGGAAAAGGGCAATATGAAAACAGATATAACAGGAAACACACAATATAGCACCAGAAAGAGACAAGCTAGAATCAGGGCAAAGTGCACAAGAAGCAAAATTTGCAGTGAAAATACTGGGGTCAGCAAAACTGGAGAGGGCTGTGAAGGACTAGAGGGAGAAACACAAGCAATTGCCCAACCTGTCCTTTATTGTCTCTTTGAGAATGAAAAAGTTTTTCTGGGTTGACGAAGACACAGACGCCACTTTCCCTTTTTCACACAACCCTCCTTGCAGCAGCTGCCTATGTTTTGCAATGTGAGAACCAAGCTACTTTATACCAAAGCATACACAGGGGATATTGCCAGTATATTCTCTATACTGGTAGCCCTATTACCAGAAAATAGACGCAGCAACACAAAGTCTCACCCTAGCAGTGCCTAGAATCAAATAGGTAGCATGTAGTGCCTGTGCTGCTGGAATATACTGTTTATTTTTCCCATCAGGAGATTAAAATCGGCTTAAGATAAGGAAAAAAAAAATCTACTTTTAAATTACCTAAATTATTTTTAATATAGTTACAGTTTGTATTTGTTACTTTTCTTATCAGCTTATTTTGTTATCAGCTTTAATGCTGTATCATGCACTCCCCATTTCAGACAACACGTTAATCTGTCTTATTACAACCTCGCTCAGTTTTGCACAACTGGAATTTTAATTTGAATGAAAACTGGTGTTTTCCTTCTCTTTTCATTGCCAATTAGAAGATCAGCTTTTGCATGGAGCTTAAATGTAAAGTCTACATAGAGTATGACTAAACCCAAAGAACTTCAACGCCAGCAGAGGAAGGCAGATAAATATACAGTAGCTTGGGGAATGATAAAGGACTTACTGGTTGAGGAAGGCGAAGAGGTATCTCATCACTATAAGGACCGACCTGGGCAAAGTAAGGAGGAGTTTGCGGATGTGAAGAGCCCTCTCATAGAGATTGTCTATTCCTGCAAGCAGAAGAAAGTATGTTAAGTTCCCTTTCATACGATGGTCTAAAATAGCATTCAGTCAGTTTACTCAATTTACTTCAACTCTTTACCATCACATGTCCCTAGCAAATATCTTCTCGCTTTGGCCTATTAGAAAAAAAAGATCTAAAAGATCCCTGTCATTAAAACCACACAGTTTAAAAGCAACATCTTTAAATATAAGAAGTCACAAATCTGCCCAAGTCAAACCCTCTGCCACTTGCTGAGCTACACAGCTCACCAAACCACAATATCAGCACCTAAATCCAAGGAACCAAGGAGAGACGTTTGCCATCAGTTTCATTCATTCTCTTTATTTGAATGTTCATATCAGATATAATATTCCAATCACTGAGCTTCTCTAATGAGTTTTCTTGATCAAATAGACAGCTGTAAGTCTCCAAATGTCAAAGCAGGAGAAAGGCCTTACGTTTTACAGCATGTAAGCAACAAACACAAAGATCACATGTGTTTTCCCAAAAGATTTTATAGTGGTCCACCAAAATTCTTCTGAAGCAGCAAAACAAGGTCAGCTTAATAAAAGCATCAGCTCCTAATGTCTTATAACAAGGATGCATTATCTTCTATGCTGGTCAGAAAGATTGTGTGGCTCCAACTAGTGTAGTGATGGGATAAAAGGATAAATTGTTTTTCAAAATAAGTAATATCTCAATTTTTTACTCAATGTGTTTTCTGTGTAAATGATACTGTTAATAGCAACCTAAAATTTCAGTAGTGCTTTTTACATCAGCCAAGAAAGAATGCTGCAATGAACAAAATCTAGGGGAAATCTTAGCAGACTACAGAAATACTGTCTAGTGGCACTGAAATGGATATTCAAAAATCTGGAAATGAGAAACAGGAACTGATTCCAATAGCTGAAAAGCCATTTGTACCATAAAATGGGATATTTAACAGTGCACATTTAAAGTAATGACTTACATAAAAACATGACCACTGCAAACAGAGTTCCTAGTGTTTATTCCTGCTCTTTGGTATGGCTACTTCTACCAATCAGCATTTATTTGTAGATGCAAAATGTGTGTTGAAGTAGTTTCTTAAAAGAACAACTGGTGTCTAGTAATTAGTATTTTGGTATAACAAGACCTAAGCGTAACAGAGCATGATGGCAGCAAGACTTCTGTTTACCACACAGAAGAGCTGTACTTCATTGAGAAATGCCACTGGAGTAAACTAAGGGGGAAAACCCTGGAAGCGCTGGCAATCCCAACGCTGCAGAAAGCTGGTTGCACCTCCCCTCTCACAGCACGTCTGCTGGAGGCCCTCTTTTCATTACTCTGATTTTCAAGAACTGTCATTAGCCCGACCTCAACGCCCGGTGGGGTATTACCCATTTCTCAGCTAAGAAAACTGAAGTACTGATATTACATGACTTGTCCTAATAATGCAATTAGCTGCCAAGCAGAAATAGAAATCAGGGGATTTGAAAACTGGTTCATTACTCTAATGATACGATGACAGTCACATCCCCAAACACGAGCAACAGGACAAGCCTCTGGCAAGGCCAAGCACACTGAGAACTAACGTGGTTTTTTCTGACTGTGGAGCAAAGGAGGGAAAGGAGATCTGTGTGAAGGACACATGAATATCAATCACAAATCAAGACCACCGTCAGGTAAATACCACAAATATAAATGGTTATTATTTTCTAGTTCCCCGTTCTCAGAGCAGAGCAAAACTTTTGGAGCTCTGGTCTTATACACCTGCCTTCCAGGCACATTTCAGCCATGGGGGTCAAACCCACAAGCAGGAGAGTTTCCTGCCAGCCTGATTAGAAGGTGTCTGGCGTGGGAACACTGTGCTCCTGTCAAAGTGGAGCCACAGTGCACCCTGGAGCACAGGAGACATTTGTGGGGTGAAACAAGAGAAGTGGAAGAGGCCAGCTTCTGGGGCTTCGTGGCTATAGCACTCTGTGGAAGAGCCAGTTACCTGTGCCCAGAACTATTAGTGCATTTTTATCAGACAATAATGGAGCAAATCACCCTAAAAATATAAGGAGCTTGTTCTTCTGTATATCCATAAAATTATCTAGGCATCTAAGCATCAGAGGTGTTTAAGATCTAAGGAGCCTCCACCAGCTTCTACAAAAAATAAAAAAAAAGAGAGCTTGGAGGACTCTTCAGAGATAATTTAAGTCTACAGTCTCACCTTTTAACTTCACCTTAATCACCTCTGAGAAACGTCTGTCCAACCTGTTCATAAAATCCTCCAAAGAAGCAGATCACAACTTCCACAAGGAAATTTGTTGAAAGCAATCTTGCATTGCTCTTGGAAAATATTTATTCATTGATCTCTCACAGACTTCCTCTGCAAACATTCCTTGTCCTTGAACTGGATGAATGAATCCAGCTGAGACTAATGTCATTGCATAAATGAAAGAATTACTTATCAGCCAGCTGTCTCCCTGTCAGCCACAGGCTAAGGACCAGTTTTCAATAGCATGAGATAGGCATAAATCCTAGCTACTCAAGCCTTAAAAGGTGTGATCTTCATCCTTCAAGAATACTGGAACCCATTCTGGAGAAGTGGGGCCGCCTTTCCATACTGCAGAGACACACAGAATCAGTAAATGTCCACTTTTCTCTACCATGAGAAATAACACATTTTTACCACATGGTGACTCACGATGAGATTTTTGCAAAGGCAGACTCTAAACTGAAACAGATCAAAAGTGAACAATCTGCCTTAGAAGAGTAAAGGAAACCTGAGAGGGGAGAGAACACAACCCCCAAATAGAAATAAACCAAAACTAAATTATAAATGAAGACATGGATACATTCATCCTAAATAACACTGGGAAAAGGTAAATTGAAACCTAATTAAGCAATAATCCTGAAGTAGTGGAGCATGTAAAAGGCAATAAATATTCAAATATATAAATACAGCGCTTTGGTGATGGAGAACAAAAGACTTTTGCAAGAGAGCAATTGCTGGTGGTTCTGAAATGTTGTGGGCCAAGTGGACAGCTACATGCCTTTATCACTCTGGTTTAGTTGAAAATGCTACAAAAGCATTGTACTTTTCCTGGTTGTGGTTCTACACACGGCCTCTCCTACACTGGTGGAAAGACATGGCTATCCAACAAGGAGAAGACTCCACCTGGGAGCAGTTAGAGTTCAGAAACATGAGTTCTGGGTTCATAGAATAGTTTGGGTTGGAAGGGACCTTAAAGATCATCTAGTTCCAACCCCCCCTGCCCCATCCAGCCTGGCTGGGTCATATTCTACCACTCTCCGTTAACAGGCAGCCTCCATGGGCTGTTCTCAGAAGTAACAAAAGAAATGTAAACATTTTGCAAAGGGAAGATATTATTGATCAGAACATGTGGAAGGAGAAACCTGGTGTCAGCAATGAATGAATTGTGCTACACTAACAGCTGGTGCTGTGCAAGCTAAGCATATTTGACAGCCAAGGGTAGCACAGAGGAGGAAGAAGAATGCAAACATTGATCTCTCACAGACTTCCTCTGCAAACATTCCTTGTCCTTGAACTGGATGAATGAATCCAGCTGAGACTAATGTCATTGCATAAATGAAAGAATTACTTATCAGCCAGCTGTCTCCCTGTCAGCCACAGGCTAAGGACCAGTTTTCAATAGCATGAGATAGGCATAAATCCTAGCTACTCAAGCCTTAAAAGGTGTGATCTTCATCCTTCAAGAATACTGGAACCCATTCTGGAGAAGTGGGGCCGCCTTTCCATACTGCAGAGACACACAGAATCAGTAAATGTCCACTTTTCTCTACCATGAGAAATAACACATTTTTACCACATGGTGACTCACGATGAGATTTTTGCAAAGGCAGACTCTAAACTGAAACAGATCAAAAGTGAACAATCTGCCTTAGAAGAGTAAAGGAAACCTGAGAGGGGAGAGAACACAACCCCCAAATAGAAATAAACCAAAACTAAATTATAAATGAAGACATGGATACATTCATCCTAAATAACACTGGGAAAAGGTAAATTGAAACCTAATTAAGCAATAATCCTGAAGTAGTGGAGCATGTAAAAGGCAATAAATATTCAAATATATAAATACAGCGCTTTGGTGATGGAGAACAAAAGACTTTTGCAAGAGAGCAATTGCTGGTGGTTCTGAAATGTTGTGGGCCAAGTGGACAGCTACATGCCTTTATCACTCTGGTTTAGTTGAAAATGCTACAAAAGCATTGTACTTTTCCTGGTTGTGGTTCTACACACGGCCTCTCCTACACTGGTGGAAAGACATGGCTATCCAACAAGGAGAAGACTCCACCTGGGAGCAGTTAGAGTTCAGAAACATGAGTTCTGGGTTCATAGAATAGTTTGGGTTGGAAGGGACCTTAAAGATCATCTAGTTCCAACCCCCCCTGCCCCATCCAGCCTGGCTGGGTCATATTCTACCACTCTCCGTTAACAGGCAGCCTCCATGGGCTGTTCTCAGAAGTAACAAAAGAAATGTAAACATTTTGCAAAGGGAAGATATTATTGATCAGAACATGTGGAAGGAGAAACCTGGTGTCAGCAATGAATGAATTGTGCTACACTAACAGCTGGTGCTGTGCAAGCTAAGCATATTTGACAGCCAAGGGTAGCACAGAGGAGGAAGAAGAATGCAAACAACGGCAATGTAAGCTATCTCTCTCCTTTAGGACCACTGTTTGGAAGAATAAAATCCAATGTGGTATCTCTGCGTGGGGGTCACTCACTACTTCCACTTGGAGTGGCGCCTACTAGTAACAGAGTGAATGCCTAATGCATATTTTACACACCCACTGAATGTCAAATGGGGTTGAGTTACACTTGCAGATGTAATTTTTATGGTCAATTTGCAGCTGACAAGTAATCTCCATGAATATGTATTAGTGCTGAAGTTAACAATTTGTGCCTCTTTCCACTTTGGTAGACGGGACCAATCCAACTCAAAGATACATTAACTCAGCAGAGCCACTTAACAACTCTTTCAGATCTATTTAAGAAGGCTTTACAGGAGGGCAAACATAACGGTCTCCACTGTCACTTAGGGAAAGAAACAGTTATCATTTTGTTTAAACTTTTTCAGGAAGATTTGACAATTGAGAATATATGGGGTTTTTTTACTTTTTAAGTAATGGGCAACAGTCTGGAAAAGCAAAAAAATAATTTCCTTTCATAACATTTACGCCTTTAGGTAAACAGGCACTGCTGGCAGCAAGGGACTGAAATGATGAAAATCAGAAGGAAAAAAGATGTAAGTTTTCATCCATCCTGGCACCTTAGTATATCAAATTTAGGGCAAGAGAGATGAAACTGAGAAGAATTATAATGGCCTGAGCAGAAGCTAAGAGGTGTGGGTAGCTGAGATGTGTCTGCTACTGGACTGCACAGCAATGTACGTATAAGTGAACTGTAATTCACACATATAAGAACTCACACCAGGAAGGGAGCTGCAGTCCCCCAGCAGTGAAGGTGAATTACGGCCAGCCCCTAAGCCCAGCTTCAGTACCCTCTGCCTCCAGTTAACTCCTGCTGCAAATATTTCCCTTGTGTTTGGCCCTACCTGTTTCTACAAAGGGGCAGAAAAGAAGTGCAGTGCAACTCTCCTCCCACTTACTCTGCCCTCTGGATTTCTGAGTGCTGCTGGGAGCAACAGTAGCCACTTGTTTTGCTGAGAATGCAGATTTATGGCCCGTAATCAGATGGATTCTTTACGTTCTGTCTTACCTTTCATGCTTGCTCTGCAGAAGTCATAATTTGGCCCAAATTTTATCTAAAACAGTTCATAAGCTCAAACAGAATAACGTTGTTCTCATGAGGCTAATTAATACAAATTGTCCTAAAAGTCACAGTCATTTTACACTGTTTCCACTGTATTTGCAAAAGGAAAAGCATTAAATCACAATGCTCTATTTCATTTGGAAATATATGCATAAATGCAAAGGAATTCCTCAGTGGCCGTACTGAGGAAAGGTTCATTTTGCAGCTGTAGCCTCAATTATGCTTGACATCCATAACTAAGTACTTCAGTTTCAAGGGGTTTTTCACTGGCAACATTACATTTCCATATAAAATGTGTGACATTCTGCCCTTTTACAGTTTTATGAGAACATTAACTTTATGAATTTGCTTTCTCCCTCCCCCCTTTTATAACAATTTCTGCCAACGATTAAAAAAACCACACTGACATTTATCTTGACAAACTATTTGAAAACAACTTAATGTTTATTCCTTTCCTCACTGTTTATCAGACAGTGAATGTAATACGAATTAAGAGTATTTAAACCCTCTCAATTAAAAATATGAAAGCTTTCTGGACTTTACATATCAATTGTGATCTAAAGTTAGAGTAATGTGTGTTCTCACAGAGGAAAGGGAGTCTGACCCTGCTCCCATTAACATGAAGACCAACATGCCTGAAAAAGAAACTCAGGAAACTATGACAGATTCAAAGTTTACAGCGGGGAAAAAATATCTTGCCTATTCTTATTTTTTGCAAAATATACAAAGTCTTAAGGTGAAAACATAGCAATGGAAAGGGTCAGAGAGTTTTTGATAGTACGTGCCGCATAGGTGCTACTTAAACTAAACCGTGACAGGTAGCATATTCTGCAATGCTGATTGTTTTGTTTTTTTTTTTAAAAAAAACAACCTCAATGTCTTATTCCCTGGAAGTGATCTTATTCCCAAGAAGTAGTGTACCACTTAACAAAGCACATAGACTAGGTACACAGCTGTAAAACCACTCCACCTCAGGCTTCTCAGATAATCAGAAGATTTAGACACACTGTTCCCAACATGTGGTTCTGGGGTTGGTTCTGGCTGTTGGTACAAGGCACAAGAGCTGTTCCTTTTTCTCCTCACATCATGTGCAAAACCCCCACTCCGACAAGACAAAGTAAACCCACCTTGAGGTGCTCAAAGAGAAAAGCCCTTTTGTCCTGTCATGTTCCAAATTTACCTCTCCTCCCTCTGCCGAAGGCAGGCATTGAAATGCCATTTCAAAGTGCCCTAAAGATAACCTTGTGGAAACCAAACCAAACAACAACAAAATCATCCTCCCCTGGCTGCCTCCACAACCTGCCAGAAACAGATCTGAGGCACTTACAACACATTATCAGGCAGAAAATCATCTGCTTTCTTCTGTTACAGCAACAGCAGAAGTCAAATCTAGCAAAACTACTCAGTCATTACACCTTGTTTTGACAAGCTGTTGTAGAGATGATAATCCAGACTATGACAGCCTCAGAGAACAGCCAGTCTAAAGCAGGATCAGATGGCAACACCTCTTTCCCAATAGCTGTCCCATTTAAAAATGTGGCTGGGAAAAGCAGTGACTTTGTTCCAGGCTACTGACTGTTACTGATTTCATCTCAGCTGGATGATACTATTATTTAAAAAAACATAGGTTGTCAATTCCTTTGCAAGAAAATAATCCACTGCCTACCTTTAATATGCATAGATGGGTATCCTCTAAGGAAACTGAGGCCTAATGCTAGGGATCTAGTATTCATTGCCACTTTTCTTGAAGTTCTCATGAACAGAAGACCATTTTAGGATAACTAAATTGGATCCCTCTCAGACAGTGATGCTCTGAGAGGCTGGTGAATCTCTCCTGCCTGTGCAGGTGCCAGGGACACATACTCAGTCCATTGAACTTCTACCCCTCCTTCCGAATTCCCCATCCTGTCTTCAGAAGTTACAGTGGTGAACAGAAACTTTTTGAAATCACCCAGGTTCCTCTTCTTGGAACAGATTTAAAAGGTTGCTTTGGGCAAATATTTTTTTGCATTTCCTAAGCACTCACTTTAGCACCTCTGTAAACTGAAAACTCCTTCTTGATATTTTACAATTCTATTTAAAGCTCTCTAACACAGCTGAGTGCAGTACCATCTCCACATACAAGAACCACCTTTTCTATTTTTCTTTATGCTTAGTCAAAATAATGGAGTCATAAAGTGATCCAATGGGCAGAACGTGACAGCAGAAATTTTGAGAAGGAAATCTGGTACAAATGTTTAATGACAAAAGTGATTAATCATTTGAACAGTTTATCCAAGAACATGGTAGATTTTCTGTCAACTGAAGCCATTAAATCAATAAATTTTTCCAGCAGACATCCTTTAATTCATCCAGAAGTTATGGAAATCAGCACAGGATTATTAGGTAAATTTCCATCATCCCTGTCATGCAGAAAATCACTCAGTCAAAACGATCCTTTTTTAGATTTCAATTTCTACGACTTGCAGACATTTTCTGGGCTGTGGCATCACAGTCAGTTAAAGCTGAACTCAGGCAGAACCAAGGTTATGCTTCCTAAAGAGACACTGTCCCCCTCAGCATCCCCCTCTGTGTGGGATCAGACTGTTAAACTGCAGCTTAGAGGTCCTTCAGGAAACCTCAGTACCACTCAGTCTGTAAAAAGCATCCGCTGCCGAAAACCCCGCAAAAAAAAGGAAACACGAAGTATTGCACATAAACCTGGTCACAGCTATCCCGGTATTTGTAGCCTCCAGGCTGAACTACTGCAATCCTCCCTATGTGGAAACCACACAAGTTGGGTTCCCCTGGCCAGGAGCAGAAAAGCCCATCTGCTGGCCAGCCCAGGACACTGTGTACACATCAATCTGCGGTCCTGACTGCTGGGCTGAGACCCTTTTGCCAAAATAGCACAGTTTGAAGAGAGCCTGCCCTAATTGATAGCCCCAAAGGACTGGCCCTCGTTACCTGTGAAACTGCCTCTCTCTCTCCATTCATCTAAATCAGGCAAGTTACAAAGGAAAGGTTGCAAGGAGGAAATTCTTCCACAAAGCCAGCACCTCCGACCACTTCTAATGGACCCACAGGGAACAGTAAGCCTACTGATGGTTGGCTTGGCGTCACCCCTCCTCAACATCTGCAGGGATCTGTGAAGTGGAAGAGGTTTTCTGCATGCCAGAGCAGTTCACTCATCCACCGAGAACTTCCTAAATTACTGCAACCTCTCTGTGCCTGGCTATGAAGACCAGCAGTGCACAGATGTGTGCAACGCTCCTCCTGGGCATCCCATTACAGCGTGGTCATGCTCGTGTGTTGGAAGGCAAACTGGGCTCTTCTGCAGACAACCAGCACTCAGCTGCTCCCCTCTGCTCCTGGGCTGAAGGATTTTCCTGCCGGTTGGATCAGGGGTTTTGAGCTGAGCACAACAAAGGTCCAGAACCACACAATGTTGAGCAGTTGGTTACTTATTCACCAACACTGACTCCAAGCTGCAGGGCATGTAAACCTTTGTGGAAAGTATCGTCCTCTGTTTGCACAGTCATGACTTCATCCTCTTCTATCTGCCCCCGTGCACGGAGGAAAATAATAATAATGCCTTTAAATTTAACTCTCTCTTGTATACAGGAAGATATTCTTCCTGCCCTGTTAAACAAAGGGTTGTACTGTACATTAATCCCACTGGAAAAAGGGAACAAGCACAGCTGCAAGTATGACTAATAACTGACCCAGACTGTTACAGATGGCAATAAAATTGTCTCAGATAAATCGGTGAAGTTAGCTCTTTTTTTTTTCAGGCGCTAATGTATATATGAAAGTAAAATTCGATTAAGAAAGAAATAGAGATTTCTACTTACTGATACAAGAAATAAGATCATTAAATCTTTCCTTAGGAAAGACGGGATTTTCCAGCCCTCGGAAATAGAGCTTCAGTACTCCAGCAACTGAGTTAATGTCATGGTTACTTTGGTCATCTGCCAAAGGATTTTCACCTTAAAAAGTAAATAAAGTGAATGAAACACACAGGCAGGAGCATTCTTACATGTAACAATTTTATGAGTGAGTGACATTTTTGGGGTTTTCTGTTTTTAGTGTGTGGGAGGTGGCAATGCAAGCATTCAAGTAAGATAATAAACACTGATTTAGAAATCCCAGGCTATGATTAAACTAAAAACAGCAGCCTAAATAAAGCTTCCCTTAAATTACATAGCGATCTCTTAGGTCCTGAACTTCCAACTAAGTATTTATGGACACATTATGATTTACACTTAGTAAAAATAAAATAAAAAAAGCCAAATATTCTTATTGGATAGGGTTTCTCAGACTGTTCTTTGGGAGCTTACAGAAAGCAAATCTAGTTAGACAACTCTTTGAAATGGAAATCTGTCTTCATTCTGAAAAACTAAAACATTCAGAAATATGTGCAATCATTTTGTGAAAACACCGTATGGGAATTGAAACCCTAAAGGCCACTGAACTACGTGCAATTTTAAAGACTTAATCTTTATTTTGAAATAGGTTAAAATGTATGTATCTTCCAGAATAACATTAACTAGGAGAAACAGTTAGCAATAAGGCAGATTTTAAAGGCAGAGAATAGAAGGATGTGGTCTCAATTATCATGTAAAGCCAACTACTTCACATATCTTGTCAAAGACAAGTTCAGGTTTAACATGATATATGGGGAGAAAAATACTGTGCATATTTTTTCATGCTTTTAGTCACAAGACTTATTGCTCTAAGGGTTCTCTTATTCACAGATGATCTGCAAAAGGTTTTCCTTTTGCAGGAATTTGCAGGAAGCAAATTAAAACAGCTTGTAAACCCCAAGAAAAGAGAACGTAAGATTTAAAAAAAAATTGTAACTATTTTTGTTTTAACACAATTAGGGGATTGCTGGATCCTGGGTAGCAGAGCAATCCTGGGCTGGGTGTTGCAAGCCACTCATGTTTAAAAAGCTGTTTTCACTTCCTGGGATCTTTCCCATAATTCCCCCTCTGGGAATCAAAAAAGTGGTTGCAAATGGAGTGACCTTTTCACAGCCTGTATTCTCATTGATTGTGATGCCACTTTGGCAGAGAGACCAGAAAGTTGAGCACTCCTATTCCAAAAGATCAAGTAACAGGGTTCTCAAATTGCATTAAGCAGTCTCTTGAATCTAATTAAAAAACATAATCTTTCCTTTCTGAGGGTCTTCAGAATAAAATATAGACAAACTATTATTTGCAGTTTATCATTAACAAAAGACTAAAGTTTACAGTTGATTCAAGAGCGATATGCCTTGTCTAAACAAAATGAAAAACAACCTCAAGCTCCTAGGACATAACGGGGGAAAAACATGCATGTGTCATCATTATACTTTATCTTTAAGCGTATGATGGTGCAAAGTTTTAGGTGCAGCATACAAAGTGCATACACACTGCTTAAAAAGCCAAGAAAATAATTAGAATTTAAAAGATTTTTAAATGTCAGATATTAAGGTGCTTGAATAAATTAAAATGCAATTACCTCTCTCAAATGAATTTTTAATATCATTGACTTCCACCTGGGAACCAGACACTCTAAAAATTCCCTGATGCTGAAGACCTGCAGCAGAGATGGGAGACACTGGTGAGAAATGAATCTAGTTTTTAAAGCATTTTTAATCTCTATTCTAAAAACAAAACTGTGGTGGTAAATGCGTTATGCAAAAGATACACAAAAAAGTCTGGGTAATAATGAAATGACATAGTATGTTTCAGAGCTTACCGTATAAATTGATAAATCTGATACAGCTTTCCACAATGAGAGGAATGACTTGTCCTGAATCCTAGAAAAACAAGAGCAGGAGTGAACTGCAGACCAGAGAGAGGACACCTCCCTACTCTGGACTGAATGTGAAAATGTGTTTTCTTGGTCAATCCAGATGGACATACAGTGCTGGCAAAAAAACACATAAGAAAACATTATTTCTAACAGAGTTGTCTTCCCATGTAGGGAGGGAAAGGAACAGGTGAAGAGAAAAGATTACAGTTCCTCATTAAAATAATTGATTTGGAAAATTCAGAGACTTCATTCTCTACCTCTGCCACTGTAGCTGGCTAACACTGTATGTGACATCTAAGCTCATGCATATGTTTTAGATTTTTGAAGCAAAATGAGTTAAAGCAGTGAATTTGCCTCTTTAAAAGTTTGTTAATAATAATTCTTGATGAAGACGGTCTCTCTGCATCCATTTAACTTACCAACTTACCTTTCTTTTCCAGGTGGAGAAAATCCTACATGGACCTAACTACACAGGACCTAATTTCTCAAGGTGCTTTTTTTTTTTTTTTTTGGGAAAAAAATAGCCCTGATGCTGAAGACCTGCAGCAGAGATGGGAGACACTGGTGAGAAATGAATCTAGTTTTTAAAGCATTTTTAATCTCTATTCTAAAAACAAAACTGTGGTGGTAAATGCGTTATGCAAAAGATACACAAAAAAGTCTGGGTAATAATGAAATGACATAGTATGTTTCAGAGCTTACCGTATAAATTGATAAATCTGATACAGCTTTCCACAATGAGAGGAATGACTTGTCCTGAATCCTAGAAAAACAAGAGCAGGAGTGAACTGCAGACCAGAGAGAGGACACCTCCCTACTCTGGACTGAATGTGAAAATGTGTTTTCTTGGTCAATCCAGATGGACATACAGTGCTGGCAAAAAAACACATAAGAAAACATTATTTCTAACAGAGTTGTCTTCCCATGTAGGGAGGGAAAGGAACAGGTGAAGAGAAAAGATTACAGTTCCTCATTAAAATAATTGATTTGGAAAATTCAGAGACTTCATTCTCTACCTCTGCCACTGTAGCTGGCTAACACTGTATGTGACATCTAAGCTCATGCATATGTTTTAGATTTTTGAAGCAAAATGAGTTAAAGCAGTGAATTTGCCTCTTTAAAAGTTTGTTAATAATAATTCTTGATGAAGACGGTCTCTCTGCATCCATTTAACTTACCAACTTACCTTTCTTTTCCAGGTGGAGAAAATCCTACATGGACCTAACTACACAGGACCTAATTTCTCAAGGTGCTTTTTTTTTTTTTTTTTTAGGTAAAAAATGCTGGGTCACAAACAATTGGTAAGGCCTCTTCTTCTGGACCTCCTGGACTATCAGAAAAGTTAAGCTCTTGGAGAAGAGCCACCAAATGACATTACATGGGGTATACCAGGTGTCTCCCTCCTGACCTGAGTACCCCTACGTGCTCTACTGATTTGCGTGTCCTAACCTAGGGCAGATGATGGCCTGGCACATTGTTTCAGGCTGTGCTAATTAGCTGGTGATACACTGGGTGGTGAACTGCAGTTGCTTGGAGCAGAGCATCTGGTTCAGTTGCCTCTTCTGTAGGCAACAAAGGTATTAGGAAAGGAAGGTCACAGCTTACACCTCCCCACCTGCAGCCGGCAGAGCTCAGGAATCAAAGGTCCTGGTCCCAGCCATGATAGAGCAGCAGGTCTATAGCTACATCTTCAGTTAAGTAGAGGTGTTTTAATAGAGGAGAAAAAAATGCTTGTGATGGTAGGGAGAGACGACTCTACACTAATTTTGAGAGAGTTATTTGTCTTCTTCTTTTAAGCTGCTGATTTTCCAAAAGAACTGTCACAGTCCTTCATCTGTGTGTTTTTAAAAAATGGATGTTTTACCCCAAGCACATTAATGACTACAAGTCATGGAATATCTATTAAGGACACAAATCATATGATTAAAAATTATTTAGAAAAGTTGGTGCTTATGCTGGAAAAAGTACTGTTTCATAAATAATAGGTACCTTTGAAATTCTTGTCTTGTAAGATATAATTTTTCTTTCCAAATGAATCTCAAATATGTAAGTGCTCAGAGAATTGACTAATTCATTTGGAAGTTTAATATAAAACCAGTCTGTATTACAAAACCATTAATTCAAAAGCACTCTGTAACTCAGAATACCCATTTCCTCTTACAAACTAGTCCTTCATTTTCATGCTAAATTACACTAATGGGAAGTTTATGAATTAAGCCCAAGTAGAAGAAAAGCCAACTACTAAAAAAAGTTTGAAAAATAACACACAGTGAGGCAATGAAACAATGCACTTCCTGAGATAACCTAACCCCTGATCTTCTGTGTGCTCCATGTTGTTTCAGTGCGGCTTACAAAAGACTGTATGGCACATTATGCTATTTAAATTGTGACTTGGTTGTCTTTTAGTTTAAAACCTAGCAAAGACTGGCTAGCCAAAAATCAGCAATGTCTGGATAAGCATTTTCTGTTTGAGTTGTGTCATGATTCAGTAACAGCTGCGTAAAAAAATCCCTGTGGGACAGGTCAGTTGCTAAAACCAGGAATACTGTCATCTTCACCAACACTGAGCATCCTGGCCCTCCGAAAAAGCAGAGTATTAGAAAACATGCATCACGTGCACCCATATCTCCTGTTAGTACACTGGTTCATGCAAAGAATATAAAGCCTCGGAAAAGATAATGTTTGCAGTAAGAAATGAAAAAAAACCCGAAAAAACTTTCATACTTGGTTTTGGAGAATCTATTCAGAACCACACACAACTTTGTAGTTAACTAATTCCCTGAAATAATCTAACCTAACAGTTTTGGATTTTGGATCTAATGACAGGAAAATAATTTGAAGTAACAATCTGTGTTGGTGAAGTGTCAAGAACAGTGACCTTACTGCTGCTGTGAATTAAATCTGATGTGTGTAGTCAGTGAATGTATGTTTGGGACTAATTATCACTTCTTATGATGCAAAATGTAACAAAAAGCAATTTGGTGCAGTATTTCTCTAGCTGTAATCCTTTAGAGCCTGTCAAAATGACTCACCCCTATCAGGAATGACATGGCCCTTGGAGAGGGATGCTTTCCTAGGTTAGCTCCCACACGGGCAAATCTGTCACCAGCTTTCTCTTCTCTTCCCTTTTGAAAGACTAACTATGTAGGAATCTCCGCTTCCACGTAAGCCCTGTCACACACACTGCCATGGAGCATAAACCTCTTCTTTGTGAGGGAGAATGACGGGGTACCACTTCTCCTGATTTGTTCTCTGTTTCTCTAATCCAGGGGCTTTTTGTTGTGGGAGTTTCTGCTTCTTAACTTACTTTCATCCTTGAGCAAGAAACTGTTCATGATACTCATCTCTTGCACCATGTGATGATTTCCTCACAAGTCTTTGCACCTCACAGCACTGCCTGCATAATAATAATAATACTTTTCCTTACAGTTGTACTAAGGGTTGCTGAAAGCTTGATTCAAAGACAGCTAAACCGGTATGGTGCCATTGAGCACAGAATTCATTCTGCAAAATAATATGCTGCTAGCCATGTTGCACAGGAATTAAAAAAAAATAACCCCTGTAGCAATCAAACCCAGTTCACAGAGGTTGCAGTCAGGAACTTCATGCACTCTGTTTATAAATGTATTGTTACGCATTTTTTGAAGACTTCTTTCCTTTCACTCTGTCAGCTAGCCTCCAGAGGCACTAATTGACTGTGATGGGCAGGTGCTTGCTAATGAGTAAGGAAATATCCATCATTTAAGACTAAAATCACTCCAGAGTTGTGCTCTGGTTCAGTTTTGCCTGCTGTACTCATACACTTATTTCTTAATGCAAACTTGTCTGTCCAAGTCTTTGAAAGAACTAATTTTGAGCCAGGTGTGAATGCAACCCGAGAGCGAGGCAGAGATGGTTCTCTTGTCACCAGAACTATACCTGATGTCTCGTGTGAGAGTTCCTTCGGCCTCGGCTAGAAGCATTATTAGAAATAAAAGTATGAGAAAGAAGATGATAGTAAATACAGCAAAGATACAAGATCCAGAATAGCAGTGATCACAATTTCACACAATATAATAAATTCCTAAAGTCACAGGAAATCAAAAGCTGGATGTCAAACCCAGGGCAATACTGCTTCTCCACAGTCTTTGAATACTGAATGTAGCAAAAACGGCAAGCAGGAAATCGTGCTAAATCGTGGGATGCTCTACATCCTATCTTCTATACGATGCTAAGTTTCCTAATAAAACCAGGCTGCCAATACTATCCCTACGTGATTAACAAAACCATAAGGAGGCTAACGTGAAAAATGAATCTTTCCCTCTGACTTCAGGAAGTATTATATTGACCAACCGGGAAAGAAAAGAGCCCCAGGACAGACTTAAACATAATGATCTGCCTCAGCTCACGTGAGGTGGTGACGTGAGGTGGTGACCATTATCGTAAGAAGTGTTGAGATCAGCCACTGGGGTGGCTGGTGCCAGTACCTTGATGAATGACTCCAAATCACCATTAAACAACTTAGCACTATACTGTGATCGGGGTCTGGGCTTCCTGTGTTTCTGGGGCTTAGGGGGAAGATTTGGAGGCCTAAGGGAAGGGAATATGATTACTGAGCAAGGTAGAATTAAGTCACACAATAAAACGACATGTCTGTAAGCTCATGGCAAAACAACAGAACATTGTAAGGGGAGAAATAAACACAATACTTAGCAAATAAAGACGTTCCATCAAATTTAAGTGTTACATAGCGATTAAAGAGTGGAGAACTCCTCCATTAAAAATGCATTATTTATGGATGAATATTGACATTCTTTATGAATCCCCGCTTTGCAGTTTTATCGTATACATTTATTCTAAACACTGCATAATCGGAATGGACTTTTTTGTTGCGGTCATGCATGAAATGTGCAGCAACTACTGGAATTCATCCTGCCAGCCGCGGCAGAACACAGGCCACTCAAAGCACCTCTTATCAAGCAGAAAACTTGCTTCATGCTGGAGAAGCTTCAAGTGCAAATTAAAGCTGCTCAGCAGACTCCTAAGGTGCTTCGGAACCAAACCGTCTGCATTTTCAACTAGAGCCAGGAAGGTTAAACAGCTTTAGCCTTCCACATCCAACCATCAACATCTTTGTACAGGAAAAGAAACACCTTGCAAATTAGCTAAAGGAACTAAAAGAAAAACATCAACTTTAAACAAATAACCAAAAGCAGCATAAAGCAAAAAAGAAAAGGAAGAACACACAAAACTTCGGTCTGCAAAACGTTTACCTAGAATGTTACACATGTGATGACTACAACTGAAAGAAATTACAGGAAATAAATATTGTTCTCTAGGTCATAATTCTGTGAATGTCAGGGAAGTCTGCAAGCCAACAGCTTCCCTAGCTCCCCTGCACCAGCAGTCCAATATTTCTAGGGTTTTTTTCTGGAATTAGCAAAAAATCAAATGTTTTAGGGGAAACAGTGAGGAACAACAATGCATAGAACATTATGTAGTAGGACTTTGGTCTGTTTGAGTACTACCTGCTATTTTAAACTCATATTTAAAGATATCCTCTTGCCTTCTACAATTTAACTTTGACCTTGAAGAACACTTCCAATTGTGTGTCTTACAGTTTGGAAACTTAACTTTGGGGCAATAGGCAGGTCCCAGTTGGTGCAGGGGAACTGGTGCCAAGGAACAGACAGGCAGGCCCAGCTACCTCAGACCTTCCCTCTCTAAGTGACCAGCTGTGATACAACAGGATGTAAGACGTCTTCAAGCTGGTCCCCCACTTTATTAAGGTAAAATCATTGCCTAAATCCATCATCTTCTTTCAGCTGCTTACAGAGGAGGGAATTTAGGATGATGTGAGCCTGATGAGTCACCTGCTTTAGAGTCAAGAAATAACGTTTTTTTCATCAGACATAAGCTTGCTGCCTTCCATGCATTCCTGGTAGCATCTGGGGGCAGAGTTAAAGGCACAGGTCTCAAAATTAATGGCAGCAATTGGGAAGAATGCGCTGATTTGTTACTGCTTTTCAACTGGAGTCATGTAAGAAGAAATAAGGTGACTTAAGTCCAGCTTTATAGAGCTATAATGGACCATAGAGTGGTGGGAGAAAGGGAGCTCTGAGTCTGTAGAGATGTCCCCAGGAATATGGAGGCCAGGCATAAGAAATTATACAAAACCAAGTGGTCCAGCAAAAGGCAGAGCCAAAGATGTGCCTTGGCTGGGAGGGCAAGACTTTGTTTGTTTGCATTTTTTTTTCAATGATGAGGGGTGGTGGCAAGGCCATCCTTGTCCAGGAAGTAAAAAGGACAAAGAGAAGGCAAGGATGAGCAATGATGTATTGCATGGAAAGGGAAGAGTGAGACCAGGAAAGCTGGTCTGGATGTTCCTGCTGTCACCAGGAGGGGAAGAGTGATCGCAGTGATGCACACAAGTGGCAGCTGCAAATCCAAACAGTTGCCATTGCTCCCCACAGTCAAATAGCCTGGGGGCTACTGCGTGCCTGTCTGTGTTTGTGTCTGGAGGCAGCTCGCAGGTGTGGCATTACACAACTGAAAAAGTATGTGCTGCACAAAGCAGGGAGATCTAACTCTGATTCCCTTCTCTTCTGGGAATACACAGACCTACTTAAGTATCACACACATGGATGCTGAGGGAGGTGGGCATTCCTGTCCAGAGCCAGGTTATCATAGATGCAGCCTAACCCCTAAATTCACTTCTATATCAGGTTCTTCCCAACTGTGTATCCTGACCAAGCGAATTACAAACCATGAGAGGCAAGGTATCTTTAGCAACTGAAAAAGATTTATTTTCCAGTACCAAAAAGCCCCCTGCAACTTCCATATTTGATGTGTGATTCACAAATAAGGATCTCCCAGCTTGTCCCACCCTTGACACTGGCCTAAGCAGGTCCCAAGAATGAGGAAGACAAACACTCTGATCCTTTATCCATCAGCATGCAGAAACAGAAATGCTGAATGTTAAAGCACCCAGAGTCTGTACATAATTTATGTAACAACAGCCACAACGTTATATACACTTACAAACTTGTTCTAAATTTGTAATTTCTATGATGTTATTACACTTGCAACTCTAAATCAAGTGAAAGAAAAATATCTTACCTTGTTGTCATGTATTCAGCCCTGTGACCTAGAAAAGTTCAATAAACAGGAAACCATCATTTGTAGGTTTTAGGTAGATTTTTTTTGGTATCTAAATTACGCTCAGCAAGTAACTTTTAACCCTAACTTTCATGTTACCAGCAAAAGATATATACTTTGACAACAAACAGGGCAGGGCAGTTATCTATCATCTCCACAGCTACATTTGCAATACAAACACAACCCATGTTACGGAACAACTTTTAAGAAGCCTGCTCATAGATTGAAGAGTCACTTGATACTGTAAATAATTTGAACTAAAACTCCAAACAACATCAATTGTTTGTGCTCATGTGTTTTAGTGGCTAAATCAGTATGGAAATAGAGCTGTGCCAAGATTAGATTACATCTCCCCTTGTGCCTAAACCTGTTCAGTGCTGAAAACACAGAGCTGTAGACACCAACGGCTTGCTATTGAGACTCTTTCCTCTCTTTTGTCTGTGTATTGCAGGAAAAAAATACAATGCTACCACTGGGAAACATCACAGAGAACTGCAAAGAATTGTAAAGAAGCAAATACTGTATTCAAAAAAAATTCCTGCAGAACAACAGACCAGTAAGTTAGGCATGTGCATCCTGTCAACTCATGATAATGAAAAGCAAAATAATGAAACAGTAGGAAGGTCATGGATGATAAGTTCCAACTAGCCTAGTTTTCCCAAAGGGACATTGTGCCCTATTAATTTATTAGAATTCTTTGAACGTATCAGTAAAATACTGTATAAAGGAGAATCACTTGAATTAATTTACTCAGACTTTCAAAGGGGCTCCTGATAAGTTTCTTCACAAGAGGCGACTAAAGCAACTAAACAGCCACGGATTGAGTGGCAAAATATTCTCATTGATCAAAAACTAATGAAGAAAAGGGAAACTGAGTGGAATTAAATGGTCTTTTTTCATCATGACAAAAGTGTAACAGTCATTTTACTCAAGCTTTCCCATTAGGACCATTTACATAATATATAATATATTTATTAAAGTCTTGGGGAGATCACAGCAGCTAAGGAGGCAGAATATTGTGCAGATGACTGAAATACTTTTGTATCAAGTCCTGACAAAACTGTGAAGCCCGTCAGAGACATTTTACACTGTTAAGGAACAAGACACACAATGGCAAATGAAATTCAGTATTGACAGGTTCAATTAAGATATTAGAGGAGAAAGAATTAAACATCTATGCAGCTAACAGAACAACGGATAGTTACACTGACTCTGAAAATCACTCTGAGCATCACTTGGCCTAGGTCTAAGTACACTGCTCAATTCGGAAGTGACACCAAAAAAACTTGTCAGACTGCAGAAAGAATGAAAAATGGCAACATGCAAAACATAATATTATGTGGTGATGTCCAAGTGCACCTGAAATACTTCACAGCACGAAAATCCTAATCTGAAAATATATTTTGCAGTACCAGAAAAGTGGGGATCTGCAGAAGATGGCACGAGGAATAAGCTCTGGGAAAAATTTCTGGCATTAATAAGACACGTAAAGACTGTTGGTATCTATTTTAGAGAGGTGATAAAAGGGATGAAACAAGAGTATGTAGAATAACCTACGACAGAAAAAGGGTAGGCCAGGACTTCTCCCTACTCATGTACCTAAGGAAAATTCACTGAGACTAACAATCCCAATAATAAATGCTAGTAAAACAAACTATGTTACAAATCTGAGTCTGGGGAATTTTAAATGCATCTCTGATATTTAAGAGATTAGGGAAAAAACTATCTGGGACACAGAGGCAATTTCTTTTACAACTGCTTATTCTCTTTCTTGCATTTCCCTTTGCTTTGTTCATTTAGTAGATGAGCCTTGGGTCAGAATTAATATGAGTATCAGTGTGCTTCCTATGTTTAATATCAATTTCATTTGAGTATTTCTCATTTACTTTTCCAAATTTGTAGATGCAGACTCAGCATAGAGCACTTAATCTATCTCTCTTGTGCAGATCATGAATATTTATTGGATGTGGGAGGGAAACATAGTGACAAAGGATGAGGAAAAGGCTGAGGTACTTAATGCCTTCTTTGCCTCAGTCTTTAACAGCAAGACTAGTTGTTGTCTGGGTACCCAGCCCCCTGAGCTGGATGACAGAGAACAGTGAGCAGAGTGAAGTCCCCCATAATCCAAGAGGAAACGGTTAATGACCTGCTACAGCACTTACACACACACACCGGTCTATGGGGCAGGATGAGATCCACTCAAGAGCACTGAGGGAGCTGATGGAAGTGCTCACCAAGCCACTTCCCATCCTTTATCATCATGGTTTAGTGCTGGACTTGGCAGTGTTAACAGCTGGACTTGATGATCTTAAAGGTCTTTTCCAACCTAATAATTCTATGATTCTGTGTATCTGCTGTGTCCATAAACAGCAACAAACTATAGTAGGCAGGTGATGAAGTGGAACAGAAGTCAAAATGCTGTCAACGTTGTGGATCCCAGACTGGAATCTGGATTTATTCAGCCTACATCCTACACTGTACAGGTTTGAATAAAAGCAAGAGTGGGTGCCAAAGGAAAACTCGCAGTTCAGACAATCCTCTCCACTCATTCTCCCCTGCATTACTTGATACAGCACCCTGTGTTACTTGTCTGCTGTCTTGCTGACATGAAAGTTTCTAGAAAAAGCAGTTTGAGTGGAGCAGGGGAGAAGCTAACTCCTTACAAATTGACTTCTATGCTAGCTACAGCAGTAAGGTTCATAGTACCAGTGTAATTCTATTCTTCCAATCATTCCCATTCAAGGAATGTACAGAATCCAGGTTCTCTTTCCCAGGCATGTGCATTTTAATGCAGGACATGCTTCAATAGAAAGAGGTACTTGAACTTTTTAACCTTTAAGAGTGATGGCTTTTGCTTCAAATATCAGCTTTGAATGTAAACATGTATATTTAGGGTACTATTTGTATGTGCTCTGCTATGATGATGTGACAACAACCATGTGCAAAACCACTGTTGGCAACACAGATTAACTATTTGGGGTTACAGCTGGTGGGTCGAAGAGAACTGTTCAAAGAGAACAGTTCAAACATGCCTGAGCATGGCAGAACTGCCCCGAGCCTGACAGCAATCTATCACTTAGGTCACCCGGATAAGAAGTTTTTATTTGGATTTTCTTTCATACAGTTCTTCCTCATTTCTTTCCAATATGCATTAGGCAATAGATTCTGTTGCCTTTTATCTTTCTCCCTTCAGTAAACGATCGTGTGTTTTACTGGGCTTCCAAATAACAAACATTCTCTTTATTTTTCCAAATACATTTTCTGTGAGCCTCTGGAGGAAAATTTTCCTCTTTTTCAACTAACATCAGCTGCACATTGTTTTGCGTGAATAAACTGCTCAACACACACATTAAAAAAAGTGAAAATTTCCATAAGAAAGACCGTAATATAGTTAGTTATCTAGAAAGAGCTACCATCTTCTACAGTTCAGCCTTGCAAGAAAATGCTGTTTATTTCCTACCCCCAATCTCAGTCACTCCCTGGGTAGGGGCTTTGTTTGGGTCATAACCACTGAACTGTTAATGGCTCTATAGGCACCTCCACAATTGGATTTGTGGATCTGGGCTTTTGTATTAAAAGCAAGAAGAGATCTAATTAACAACAGATTTTTGGCAGTAAAAAGAAAATAAATTGACACATCCTTTAGAGACACTCTTTAGAGAAGTTTCTTTTCTTGAGTCTGAACTTTGAATTATAGTCTTTAACCTTCAGGAGAGGATTTTTACTCTTTGTGGTGTAATTCACTTCCTCTCAAATCTGTAGCTCTCTGTGTGGCTAGTCCTCAAGGCTTGCAATGTGATTCTTCTTTTCCCTTTGGGCCATGAAGAAGTGCCTGTTGGGAGTGCTGCTAAATGGTGGGCTGGAATTGTGCATAATATCTAATTCATTACTACCCTAATTCAGCTTTACTTCATTTGATCATGGACATCTGCTGATTTGTTTATATTTTAAGATGTATTTTTAACAATTGTGGAGAGTATTCAGGACAATAATTTTTGTAATGCAATAATTTTATATGCACTCATGATAATCAATAGGTATAGAGCTACTCATTAAGGTTTTATTCATTTCGGTTGACAATATGCAAATACTTTGTAGAAACCTAACATCAAATTAAATCTATAAGGGTCTCACTACTGACAGTAGTGAGGTCAGGATTTCACCTTTTACCTTTCATAAATGCTCCATTGAGTTGTTAGGCTGCAAGAGGACATTCATGTCTACATGTCAGAAATGTTGCACTAGTGAGTCCATTGTCAGAGATGCATCCTGCATAATTCTGTATGCTTAAAAAAACTATCACTCTCCACCAACTCTTAAAGAAACCCCAAGTCAACAGAAACTGTTGGGAAGTAGAAACAGTACATTTGTCACAGCTCTGTGTCACGGCACTGACTGTGTCAGCTCTCCTTTCAGACACGAGATTTTTCATTCAGCAGTTCCATTTCCAAATATAGTAACTTGTCTAAATGTCTGCACAGTGGAAATAAGTATCTCCTGTAGAAATAAAATCAATTTATAGTGCGTAGTCTTAGCACTGCTCGCAAAATTCAAATCTGTGCTTACTGGGAAATTAAGCTTTGTAATTTTTTTCCTGCATACCTTTGGCATTTCAGTGGGTTCATTATATAGACTGGAATAATTTTTCTGTTTATTGTGTGATATTTACCTTCTCCGAGCGTCCTCTGCAGCAAGTCATGTTTTGCTTGAAGTTTTGTGATGAGATTACTACCTTCCAGATATTCTCTGAATTTCTGTAGAGATACAGATAAATCTATTACTATGTATGTGACATAAATTCCAGGAGCTCCCGCATAATGTTTACTTCAGGTGTTTGGTCTGTATCACATGAATGAAGAAGCAACCAACATACCATGAAATAGAATTGCTCTGTTTCCTGCTGGTTAGCTCTTCTTTTTGCAATGCTAGGCTTACTCAGGTATGTCTCGGAGACCGTGGACTTCACGGACTCCGTTGAGCGACTGTGCTGGAAACACTCTGACACATCATAGTCTTCAATGGTGACCATATCTTGTATTGTCTGCAGGGTAGCCTCTGTTGTTTTCTTAACCTGGTGTTAAAAAGCACAAATTTACCAAATGGGAAGATAAATACCTACCAGAATATCTTAGAAGGGAAGCTAATTACTCAAAATAATTCTCTGGCATGCTCTCCTAAATAAGCTGGCGTGTGAATGTGAAAAATTAGGTGTACTATAACAGATACCTATGTAACAGAAAAATGACATGACTGGGATTCCTACCTAGTTCTCTGCTTTACCAGACTACAATCCACAAATATGGACGTACTCTTGTGCTGACTGTATAGCACTCTCAAGCATTTGTTTCCTCAAATTAGGATTGAAATGTCACATGATCTGATTATGGTCCCCAATCTGGGACAAGAGGCCATAGAGATGATACACTCCTCTGAAGGGCCAGCTCTCCCATGTGTGGCCAACATGTTAGATTGAATGTGTACATCCAAGGATGTGGCTGCCAGAACAACATGTTCTTCCGAGATAAAAACCTGTGACACCATTCTGTGGAGTGCTATGGTGCGGAGCACAGTGATGTTTAGACTGCAGAAGTGGAATACACAGCTGGAGGAGGGGGTTGGAGAAAGAACAATTTACATTAGCCTCACAGCACTTCCTAAGAGCTACACAATCGCTCAGAGTGGAAATCAGGCCACAGAGGCAGTGGAACAGGGGATGCAGGATTCACAAGGATGCGATTTACCTCCCAGTTCTGCTTTGGAAGAGCCTCTACTAGAGAGACTGAATCACGTGCACTTCCACCACGCATCTCTAGTGTAGGCAAACACCCTTTCTGTGCCTGTCAACACGATTTCTCCCTCTGTGACCATGCACTTCACTTTACTGAAAGAAATAATCTTTCTCCTTCCTTTTGTCTTTGTTACCTTGAGATACTTTCTGAAGTGGGATTTTTTAAAGACTACTGTACATGTCTCAGGGACATTAATACCTTGTTCTAAGCATTCAGCACATAACATAGAATAAAAAAAAAAACAACCTGGAATCCTGAAAACTTATCAAACTGCACCAAGAAATTAAATTATCCCTATGTTTTAATTTCAGAACAGATTCTCATTTAAACTGAGGGCCTTTAACAATGCCTTAACTTGGATAAAAGTGCAATTTATACTGACTGGAAGGCCTCCTGGCAGAGAACAGGAAAGAGAGCAGCATAGCTTTTCTGTATTTTACCAAAAAAAAAGCATGTTATTTTACTAGGTGAGCTATTCCCATCACAGGCATTCATTACTTGTGTTTATAAATAGCTGTAGCTGAGAGCACAAGAGATTTTGACTCAGCTACCACAAAAGACAGTCCAAACTCCTCTGTACTTCAGAAGTAGCAATTTGGGGACTGGAAAGAGAGTGGTCACAGAAGACAACTGTGCTTGCTGGCTTTCTGCCACAAAAGTTTAAAAATAAGTGCTCTAACAAGTTTTCACTGAAGCATCTGCAAACCACAAAACTCAGTTATGTGAATGTATGGAGAGGTAAAAGAAGTTTCCAAACCTCTATAAAACAGACAAGGATCTACCGTAGCATATTGCTTTGTTTTTAAAATTAAAAGAGCTCATACAGATTGAAGCCTTTTCAGGGTGATTGATGAGCTTTTGACAAAGTAGAAAACACTGCACCTCTCTGAAAATGACGTTCAATGCATAGCCCATGTAGACACAGATCTTACCTCCTCATTTTCGATTTTGAGTGTGGCCAATCGTGACTGCAGTTGCTGATACCTAAGCATAAGCTCTGCTTGCACAGGTTGCTGGGCAGTGACCTGGCAAACCTAACAAAGAAAGGAAGAAAAAAATCCCAGTCAATAGTCTTTGGTTGCTCTCCTTAACACTAGGTGAATTCCTACCAAAGGTATTAAACCTTCATCAAGCAGACAATTAAATGTCTCCATCTAAACTGAGAGCATTTATGTGTTATAAGGCATAGAACTACACACCACATCTTACGACTACAGAGCACAGCCTTGTTGTATGGCTACTTTGCGTTGCTTCTCTGTCACACAGAAATGCAAACCCTGGAGTTACCTTCAAACTATGATGTACACGGACCATTCTGCATTCTGCTTTGCTACTGGCCTTTGGTGTAGCAGAACAGGGCGCAGCTGGGGTACCTAGTGTGCTTGAAATCTCCAGATGATAAAACAGGGGAGGAAGAAGGTGAAAAGGCTGCATTTCAGCATGCAAAATTTGGAGCTGCTCTGCAGCTGCTCTCAAATAGCACCCACAAGCTCTGTTATGTGTGAGGCTGGTAGTAATGAAGACATAAACCACTACTTATACTGGTGCTGGGCTGAGCACAGGTTGGCCAGCAAATCCACAGCAATGTCATTGGGAGTAATACAGAATATAATAACAGTTTGTACTTGAGAACTCTGAAAAAGCTCAGAACAGCGCTGCCAGTTTTACAAAATGTTATTGCTGATGCACTTGCTTTTGCGTAGCAATAACAGCTTTTACCAAACTCTTTGTAAAAGGGGATAAATTCTTTGTGTTGGTATACAGAAACAGAAACAGTCACCGTGGGGATACTTGTCAGTATACAGACCTCATCACCCATATGAGACTGGAACTCAAATTTCATTGGTGGACAAAAAGCGGTGGGGTACATTTCCATGAATCTCTGCTTGTCACTTCGTGGCTCCAAGCTGTCAACTGCATTTTCAATGATGTCTAAGCCCTCATGCCTGGAAGTTTCAAGGTTATACTCTGCAGAAAGGTATGTTCTAAGGGCTCTGTTCAGGCTAGCGTGGTATCCAAGATCACAACACTAAAAACAATAAAGGTAAAAGAAAAAAATATTTAAAAGGAAGAACGTAATTCCAATATTGCAAGCCACAGATTAACACTAAAATTTTCTATACTGAAATTCTTCTACCTTTGGACTATTTTACAAAATACCTTGTAAATTAAAATACAATTTTTACTGGGGTCCAGACAGTAAGTATTTCGTATCCTCATTCTATTGCAAAGATTAAAAGACAGTTTTAGAAAAGAGATCAAGTGTAAAAGTATGGTAATATGCTTGCATTTGTTTATCAGATACAGATTTGCAGTCACTGTATTTACATAGAAAAGGTCTCAGACTCCACACATGAGTGGGCTTTTCAGTATTACTCTCATATGTAAACCTCGGATCAGCTATTTAAACCCACCCTGACATAACTCTACCATCTAAGTCAATGCCAAACTGAAAATGAAGCAACTCCTGCCCACCGTGACTGTTCCCAAACAAAAAAAAACCCCACAACTGCCTCTAGCATTAGTGACCCATCTAAAATGCCTTTTGATGCAACAAGAATGGTTTGATGTCCTTTCCCCGATAGTAAAAATGTATTTACTGTAAAGACCTCATTTCTCATGCTCAGACAGAGTCTACAGTGTACATCATGTTACTAAATGCAGAAAGTTGTAATTTATGTATTTTTTTCTAGGGGTGAGAGTAACACTGGAATGTAATTGAAACCTAATTGGTAGAACATAAAGTTGTGTTTGTTCTTGAATTCTAAGCATCCTCAGTTTGCATTATTCATGATTGGTTAATATTTTAGATGAACAGCTGAATATATTTTTTAAAATGTCACAGCAGTAAGCATATCGAGTGATTGTGTCCATAATTTTTCCCCCCACATTACACAGTAAACAATATCCTCAGCTTCTGCTCAGTGAGCCTTCTACGTAATGGTAGATGTACCGCCAACCTCTCTGTCACCCCAATGGTGGGACATCAGTCTGCTAACAGTTGCATACAAAGCAAGGTTCTTTACTCAAACAGGAGGGATTTGTTCCAGTCAGAGGCCAGTGCCTGGTGAGGGCAGCCAGGGAGCATGATGCTTAGGGGCATCCCTCAGCCACCTGTTCCAGGTGCCCACCCCCAGTTTAAAATCATCCTTCCCTGCAGGACTCACAAATTAAGTGATGCAGTTGGCTAAGGAGGCAATTTAAATTCAGTCCACTGTAGACTATGTTTATATGCATACCTCCCTCATGGCTATTACAAACCCCTGGGACTCATGGAATCACGTTCTCCTTCCTTTCATCTTACTTATTTGAAGAAAGAGAGAAAAAGAGAGAGAGAAAGACAGACAGACAGACAGTCATAAAGTTGGACACACTGCATGGGAAAGAGATTTCAACCTATTTGCCATAAATAAACCCATGTGTAGAAGAGAAAGAAACCCCTCACCTTGCCTTAGGCACACTAATGACTAGTGATGAAATTGCTCTCTGAAATCTGACAACAGAGGGCTGTTTTACTCAGAAGAAAACTTCCAGAAAGGCTAAACTTTCAGTCTTTGTGAGTACTGTGGGTAGTTACTGCAGGTGGGACAGTGCCTATCCAAAACCCAGTTGTTGAACCATTTAAAGAAAACAGAAAAAAGATGCCATGTTCAATCAAACACATTAGGTTAACCTCTCTCTTTTGCATTTATAGAATGGAAATTTTTGTTACACTTACTAAAACAGCCACTCAACTTTTATACTAAAGCACATCCATATTTCAAAGACTTTCAGCCTAAAAAAGTATTGTTTCTAAAAGGAAACGTCTCTTGGTGTTTTTCTCTTGTTCCGTGTCAAATCAGATCTCATATTTAATTCACTATCTTGGATGAAAAAGACAGACTAAAAGTGCTGATAAGAAAGTGGATCAGGACAGCTGTTTTATTTCATGTGCATTAGTTTTAGAGAGACCTCACGGAAGATTAAACTGAGAGGAAATGAGAAATAGAGGGCAATGCCAGGTTTAGCACGGCCAACTATCCATGTGTTACAAAACTACAGGTATCTTGAGCCTGAATTTTGGCTCTAGAGGATTAATCTGAGTATTAAAGGAAAGCCTATTGATTTACAATTAGAGCTGTGTGGGTTTCTGATGCTGATTTTTTGCAAGTTGGAATATAAGATTGCAACTTCTATGCTGTGACCGTACCAAGAACTTAATTGTTTAACCCGTAATCTACTCAGTAACTATCAGCATGGTCCTCTTTCGCAGATGACAACAGCTGAACAGGGTACCAAATAGGGCCTCTCAGCCAAGAAAAAGGATTCTTCAAGTGAAGCAGAATATCCTTCCAGGCTAAGGCATTTTCTTGCCATGCCAATGCCAGCAGAGCAAATGAGAACTAAATCCAGAACCTGAACTAATGCCTTATCACCAGTGGCTCTTTGAATGGAATTTAAAATGCCTGAATGGAATTTAAAATGCCTGAATTTGGAATTTTACTTCAACAATTTCAGTAAAGATAGAATTTGCTATACTATCTTGTTATTTTTTAAAAGCAAAAATGAACACTCAGACATCACGACTTACTTCGACCAGACCATAGTTCACTTCCTCCAAAATTTGTAGACAAAGATAATTTTAACTGGGGAATGGCTCAGTCACAATATCAAGTCATTGCTATTCTGAAAGAAGAGTACTCTTTTAATCTGCTAGTGCTAATGATAGTTTAGAGAGTGAGATGTCTATAATAGAGATGGCACTTTGGGTATTTCTTTATTACTAAGACGGAAAATTTAAGGTGCTGCCACTCAACTGCTGCCCTACCATATCCCATCTGACTAGGCTTGGAAAAAAAATCACCAGCCTTTCTGGTGTTGCCAAAAAGTACATGTGTATAAACACACACACACACACACATGCATGGATGTACACCAGATTTTCAGGAAAAATCTGTAGATCTGCAGAAAGGTTTGTAAAGTTCAACCAAGCAACCACACTGTTAGCCAAAATAAATATGAATCTCTGAGGTTCACTAATCAGCACAAAAGGCTACAGCCTGGGTGGCTAATGAGATCTGCTATCAATCTATGGGCTAGAGAGATGAGATGTCAGTTGATGCAGCAAGACTTGAAGATGAGAAATGAGAGAAAGAAGTCATAGACTATGAGTTTTACTGCATTTCTGGATTCATAAGGACTTTCGGTTGGGCAAAGTGGAGGGAGATGAGTGATGCATTTGGGGTATGTGTGAAGAATTAATTTTGTAATTTGCATTTTATTCTTATTTGGAATTAAATCTGAAGCAGTCTCAAGAGCATTTACTATCTTTATTGCACCCCAGAGTAGATTTAGGCTTGAACAAAACAAACTGCAGTGCTTAGCACAGAGCTTCAACCAAACAACCAAGCTTCATTTCATTTCAGGAATAATAATAAAATTGTAATGCCAATGGAGAGAGAAAGTCATAAAAAAGGCTTAACCTCTGAATAAGTCACTTTCTAATCATCCTGTTACACAGGCATCTACATTCAAATCAAAGGGATCTAGCTGTACATATCATATTTATGAGAACTTATGTAACAGACTGTGAGCTCCACACACTCTAGCCTAGTTTTAAACTTGGTTCTATGAATGATTAACAAAGAACCTTTACAGAATAAATTAAGTTCATAATAGCTAAATGTTCTCTAACTTCCTAACCATCCAAAGCATGCAGACTGCAATTAGAGATTCAGAAACTCCACTCTAAGAAAGACCAACACATGCATATTTTATTTATTCCTGCAGCAGAACTGCAGTCAAATTGTTTTGATTGCTGTTTCCTAGCATTTATCTTAAGATCATATGACTGCACGGTAAGTCTGAGAAAAGGTCCCTACATTCCTCTTATGTCCAGATAAATCTAATAAACTCAATTACATGGAAATCTTCAAGTAAATGAGTAATAGTATGTGCCATATGGACAGATGTTGGTATTGACAGTCAGATTAGCAGGGGTGTGTACCCTGTTGCTTCTCTGAAACGTACAATCTTTAAAAAAATTCTACACACTAGATAAAACTTATTTAATTTAGCTAAAGAATAATCTTTGCTACTTTTTACAGGATACAAATAAAGAAAAAAACTAATCCTGTCCTCCCCTTGAACTAGATCCTACTACATAGTCAGGAGAGAAGAAATTTTTAACAGAAAATTCAAATGCCTCTAGTACAGTATGCAGAGGACAAAAATACACTCTGCCTATCAAATCCTGTTCATCCCTCTACTTCTTTGCAAATGTTGGTCCCAACCCTCCACTCACTAAATGCATTAAAACATCCAGCTAAGACTCCAGCAATATTTTTATCTTGCTATTATCACAAGAGCTTAAGATGAACCACACATCATCATTTTAAGTCAGAAGCTCTGAGTTTTGTTAATGAAATGAAGGAGTTGAACAGTTCAGAACGAGTTCAGCTGAGGAATTGCAATTTAGGATTTTCCATATGAGCCTCAGAAACGGAAAATGCAGTGGAATCCAAATGAAATAACTATAAATATTTTTTGCAAAAAAATTAATATCCCACAACCCTAGCCAATCTGTTACAAAAAAAAAAATAAAATACATTGAACAGTTCACTGCATTCCTTCATATATTTATCCCATTTTTATCAGACATATTTTTCAGTAACGTAGGAAAACATTCATTTTCATTTATGGGCAACACCAACAGCTCTGGGAGATCTAAATCCCTTCCCTGTTAACTGGAATTCAGACACAGAGGAGAAGTAATCCCCTTCTGTACAGGCAAAGAGAGAGTCCAGGCAAGCACGGAAAGGCAGGGAAAGCAGATGGGGACAAAACAGAGAGGGCAAAGAATGAAATCGCCATCACTGCTCTGAAAACTCCGAATTGTACCATGACATTAATAGATTTACAGAATGAGATAGTCTGGATTGCTGCAACATAAGGCCAGTGGGAAGCATGTCTCACATTCCAATGATAAAACCCCAAAATCTTGCCAAGACTCTTGCATTTACAAAAAGCGTTTCCTTTGTCAAATAGTAAACACTCTGTCTAGATACCAGTGCTTTCACAGTGCACCCTGATTAAATACAAATGTCTGAAAGACACTTCATTTAAACAAGCTCACAATCGGATTAAATTGGCTCTGAAGCAAATTCTGGTTGCACATGTTTACAGCCTACTCTTACAAAACAGTGATGAAAAGGGCAGCTAGACTTTCCCATTTAAATTCCTTAGGGAAGAGTCACTTCTAAAGCCATTTTGCCAGAAGAATGTTATTGTCTACACTGGTCCGTGGACTGAAAAAGCCACACAAAGTCGGTATCATTTTTCTGTGCTACTAAATATTGTAGAATGTATACTTCTGTTAAAAACCAGCAGTTAGAAAGCTTCAGTCTTCATGGTTGTGTAAATATCCCTACAAACACTAACTCCAAAGAGTGTTGTCTTTGTATATATATGCACAGACAGCTTGACTTCTCTTCCCCTTGCAATTCTTTGTGAAGCTCCAGCCTAGGGTTTCTCTCCACAGCTTTTACTGCTACGGCAACATCTATGGACATCAATGAAATGGGTAAGAATCAGTGTATTTTCCAACCTGAGAAAGTTTTGACCAAGTAGAAACATGCACTGGAGACATTCACTGAGAAATGTGAGCTCCGAAAGGCAAGGCAGGAGAGAAGACAAAATGAGCATTTTTCCAGCTTCTGAAGGGGTAGATATGCTGGGAACAAAGGGAAAGGGCCCTTTCCTTCCTTCCTTCCTTGCAGCAGTCAAGAACAACTCAAAAAGTTCACAATTATTAGACATGCCCTAACTAGAGGTTAAAAATCCACCCTCTTTTAAGCAGTATTGGGAAGATCATCCATTAGGTAGGGACAACTTCTCAGTTGGGTGGTACCCTGGCAGAGATGCTGCTTGTCCTTAGTTTTCTGTCCTGGTCATCTGTCTATCAGGATCCTGGTAAAAGTTTTCACTGCCTGGGCAGGCCAGGTGGGTGGAGCGGGATGTGTCGGTGAATGGTGCAGTTTAGACAGGGACAATAAACCCAATCAAAATAAAACAGAAGAAATCAGAAGAGAGGTCATGCAACAGTGAGTAGGAAAGAGGAAGAAAAGAGATGTATATTTAATTCAATGACTAGATGAATGAAACTAAATGATTTTGAAGATGCGGAGGAAATACCTTATTTTGAGTTAAATATCTTTATTAGATGCCCACTTAAGAAGTTTATCTTGTAAAAAATATTTGTAGCCCAGAAGTGTTTTCATAATACAAAATGGAAATGTGTACCTTTTTTGTGTTATTCCTGTCATATTTTCTCTTGCCACATGGGGAGAAAACATAATGTTCTAACTTTAAAGGCATTTTATTTTGTGAAATATAAAGCTGGCGGGAAAATCTGCTGATGATACCATATTGCAAATGATAAGCATATTGTGGGCAACTCATATATGACTAACGTATTCCCTTTGAAAATGAAAAAAAAAGAAAAGTATTATTCCTGAACAGATTAAACATAAAAACAAATGTGCCAATACTTACGTCAATTAAATCCGAAAGGTCATGAATATAATACTTGAAAACAGAAGCATTGGTTGCTTCAAGGGTGAGCAGGTATTCATTACGGGCCTTGATAGATTTCAGCTTGTTTTCAGAATACTTTGCTTGACGCTAGGAAAAAGATTGTCTATTAATGTATTTGAATTACTCCATTTTTGGTAGGTAGCAAAAATGGTAACAATTCAAGCACACATTCTTATTAACAAGAAAGAATCTCGGTTGCCAGCCTGTTACAGATATAGCAAATGTAATACGAAGTGACAACTTAGTATTTTGTTTCAAAGGTGACAAATCATATAGTAAGAATTACACCAGGAACAAAGTATTCCCCTCTCTGAACTACAATTAAGTCAAATTATCTATAACCCACTGCTAGTTTATTATGTGTACCTTGTTTAATTTTATTCCCCAGCTGGACTTCTCTGTCTAATATAATGCTAAAGAATGTCAGAAATGCACTGACATTACTTCAAATGAAGCTAAATAAAAGGACTACCTACTTTTTCCTTCATTTTTTCAATCTTTTTCACAGAGCTTCGTCTCTGGTGCCTTTCTTCGAGTCGAATATGAAAAACAGGGTCTCCTGACCTCCCAATCTGTTTTTCTTCTTGCTTCTCTGCCTCCTTCAGTTTGCTTTCTGCACTGATGCTCTCTGCGTGATACATGTGGTATGTTTTCATGACCTGAAAAAGACAAGAGTCAAAAGAGAGTCAGGAGAAAATGAAAATACAAAGGTATCTGGAGAAAAATCCCGGGGTCTTTGAGTAAAATGTTCCCATGTAAACATGGACCTTGGATAAGTTTCTTTGCCAACAGAGACTGAGGATTCCTGGTTGTATTTTTCTTTTCTGATGTATTAAATAGTGTCCCAATAGGTATACTGTGAGCCTATTGGCCTTGTCAATATGCCTGACTTTCAACGAGGCCTTTGGATGATGTCCCAACTGCCACTGTTCACCTTAAAGAAACAGGTATTTCTGTATCTAAAATTCGAAATGTTTGAAGTGCTTTACCAAGCACTAAGAATAAGCAGAAAGGTAGGTGATGGAGAACTAGTCATAATTAAAGCATGTGGGACCATCCCTCATCCAGGCCTCATCTCTGCTCACAAGGGCCTTGCACTGCACTGTCCTACGTTTGGGTAGGCAATGAAGCAGCACGCTATCAAACATTTCAGTCAAAAGTTGCGTAGAAACATTTGGGGGGGCATTTTTTTTTTCATTGCTTTGATAGGAGATAGCAAAATCATTCTTCTCAAACTTCAGGATTCCTGATTTTGAACGAAAACATGAAATAAAAACCAGTAAAATTAAATTTATGCCAGTGCCATATCTATCTGACTTCTTCAGGGCTGTTAACACCTCAGATGTGGAACATCGAATGTCTGGAAGCAGAAGGAGCCCTTCAGCACTGAGGAAAGGGCAAGGAAGAGGAGGCAAAGGGGGGCTTTGGCCTGGGAGCACATCCCCAGCCAGCTGGATGGCTCTCCACGGCCTGGAATGAAGTGGCTCCCACGTGGGCAGCCAGCAGATCGGGTATGACCTAAAACCCAAAGAGAGCTGGAGAAGGAGGTGCCTGATAAATAAGTTGTGGAGACGCTTTCCCCATAGGCCCCCAGTTAATACCATTATCTTTCTTCTACACACACAGCCAAGAGAGCCTGGGCTGCCAGCTTGCAAATACATGCTCACACAGACCTCAAAGAGCGAGAGGGACTGGTTCAGCCCAGTCCTCCCTTCTTCAAGCAAGAAAACCCCCAGCTTGAGGGCAGCAAGCAACCACAAACCACCCACCTCTGCTGGGGAAGGCTGTCTCTGCCCACCTCCAGCACAGAAAGCATCTTTCCACCATCCCCAGCCTTTTTTCTGGTTGGTTTGTTTGGTTTTTGTTGTTCTTGCCTTAAGTTTCAAGCAAGGAACAAAGCATGAAGGCATCCTTGAGCAGCCAGCGGCCTCCTCTCTTCTTCACAGGGTGCCAGAGTGCTCTCTCCAGCAGATGTTATCTTTGGGTTGGGGCCATGCAAGCCATTCACATCTCCTCCAAAGGACACAGCCAGGGAGGAATCAAACGGGCCGTTCCCCCCTCGGCAGAGCTTTGTGTGACCCATGGAAGAGACAGACTACTTTGGGGAGCTGCCTTGAAATGTTCCCCAGGGAGAGGAGTTCTGTTTGTAACTGAATAGTTAGGCCAGCCTGAGGAGCACCCGCAGAGTGGCCAAACTGGGGAAACTAGACCCGGACAGTGCTAATCTGCTGCAGCGTGGCTTAGTGTGGATCGGCACAAACCAACTGCACCCCACGCCAGGCCGTGGCTGAACAGATGCATTTTTAAAGTCTTGTGCAACAGAAAGAAAGAAGCTTTGAGAGAGCTGCAATTTTTGCCTAGCCATGTATGTTACACACATTCCCCAGGCTGGGAAGAGAAGGCAAGCCTGCAGAGCCGAGACCAGCACAGCTCCCAGTTTGACTCTTACCAAAGGCATTGCTAAAGCTGTGGATAATCTGTGCTCAGGGAGGCTAACTCATGCAGCCACACGGAAAGAAAAGAATTACTGCAAAGAGAAGAAATGCCCTTCTTAAAGAAATGATTTATGAAACAAACCTGAGAAGCACAGAAAAGTGATATGGCTCTATTAAAAATGATGGGAAAAGGAAATTAAAAACAAGGTTGTGCCCTTCTCTGTTGGGCTTTCTACTCATTTTTTTGAGTGCTTCTTTACTGAAGTCAACAGGTTGTTGCTTTTATTTTTCATCTTTTGTTCTCTGTCAGCTCTAGAGACTTTTTAGTTGGTGGAACACGGCTAACTCATGTGTCTTACCACCTAGGGAAGTAATTTTCTTTTGTACTCTCTCAGTTCTTCTGCCTGCAGAGGGAACAATAATAATATCTCAGAGTTTCCTAACAGCACATTCAAAGCATCTGACTTAAGTGGTGAAGCAAGGATTTGTTCCGCTTGACAAAAGCAGTAAGCACTGAAGTTTTTGAAGCCTTTTTTCTGAGTGCCGAGTAGCCCAGTGGACTAGGCATAAATGTCTTTCTGCAGCGGCCGTGACATTTCAGCTTGCCTCCTTGTTGAGTGAAGGAGTACAAGTGCATCACTACCAGCTCTCACCAAGAGGCTCAGATGCCTCCAGGCTGACTCCGCTAACCTCACCTCACTGAAGAGCACTTCTTCCTCTCCCTGCCCGCTTACAGCACATGCTGCCTGATCCGGAGGGTCTCACTCTACACTGACTGAAAGCCAAGTTTTGTGCGAGAACGACACGGACCTCACAGTCTCTATGGCGAACCAAGATGTCTACTGGAAATCCATGTTCTTGCAACAAACTCGGCACAAGTTCTCGGTACAAATGATTCCCAAAACTGAAAAAGAAAGCCCTCCCTTTGGCAGTATACTCAGGCACAGACAACAGTCAGAGTCTCTACCACCTGCGCCACACTGGCTTAGAAATCAATACAGACTATGTACAGAGCAGTGATCATCCCGTGCATTTGACCCCTGTTCAGTTTGTTATGTTGATAGCACTGCTTATCTCATGCACTGGTGACATCATTATTTTGCAAGCCGCTCGGGAAAGCTGACAGCTCCAGCCTTTTCCATCATTCGTCAATGTTTTTTCAGAGCTGAGTTAAGCTGCAGCAGCTAACCTTAACTTGAGAAAGCATCAAGACAGACACATATGGAAAATAAATGGGAACAAGCTAGAGAGCTGGGTTCCAAGTATTTCACTGCACTCTTCCTCTACAAATTAGCTTAGAATTTGCCTGCTAAATTGCACATATAACTCTTTCCCTTAACATGATACCATCTTTTCTCCCTGGAGTTTTTAAAAGACTGTTAGGTACTGTAAAAGACAGGAATAGGCTTGCCTAATTCTTGTAAACAGACTGTATGAAGAGTTGTGAGATCCACAGATCTCCAATCTGTGAATATGTAGTAACTCCATAGATCTGTTATTCAAACGAAAAATAATCTGATGAAATAAGCAATACCACTTCTCAAATGTCCACCAAACTGTTGAAATGATAGACTATCCTGTGAGAGTATCTATCACTGAACAGACTTTAATTAGTCCCCAAAGTGCTTATTGATCAGCCATCAAGTATGCACTGAAAAGAGAGAGCAAGGTCATAATTTTGCAGATGCTGAACTGTCATCATGACATATAATGTACTCTCTGCAGTAAGGAACAAGCACTGTTAAATGCATACTAGTCCCTTTCTAAAATTAAATGGTGAGTTTATCTTCTATTAATTTAGCAGGTTTATTCTGCAGATCCAGTGACGCAAAATATAGATTTCTGTCAAATAACAAAGTCAGACTACAAGCAGATGAAAAAGATTATGCTACCCAAACTATGTACTCTCCCACTTGTAGGTGACAGACTGTTCACTTAGTAATATAAATGTCTTGTTTTGTGTGCCAAATTTTCAGCATCATTTATAAGAGCTCAGCAAGTAGGCTTAGGGCAGAAGATAGCACTTATCTCAGGGAAGGGCACATTAGAGTGAACCCTTAGATAATTATTTTATTTAAACCCACAATTGTTATCTGGGCAAATCCATCAACAAGACAGTAATTAGTGCTGTACTTCTGTGGGCTACAAGAGAGGAATGTTCCCGTAGCAAGGTGCTGGCTTTCCTTTTCTACATGCATACTTACTTTTTCAAAAACTTCTTAACCCACTGTACTAAGACTGAATACTATGAAGTTAAAATATATTGGAATTACCATGTGTTACCATGCGCTTTATTTTTATCATAAAACCGCATAATTAAGAGCTTTTTCATAGTGTTTCTCAGGAAACGTATTTAACAGAACAGCAATGTTGCAATTGCTGTTTGTGAATTGTTTCAGAATTGTCTTTGCTAAGTCATGAGCTCTTATTAGAAGGTGGAGCTGCAAGGGATTCATTAAATCAGGTTAGCTAGTACTTTACCCAAGAAATAAGTAAAATCTTATGGCAATTTCAGTACATTGGTGGCCTCTAGCAGTTACGTAGGCTCAGTATTGGCTGTTTCAGCATCCTATTTGCTTCCAAACCAACCTCTGATGTGGTTCCAGGAACTGTCACTGATATATTACTACCAATGTAGAATTACTGATTTCACCTTCTCAGATCTCTGGTGTGCTACAGTAAATTGGACTTAAACCTTTTTATAGAGAATCCAGACTCTGTGTTATTTCAACAAAGAAAAAAGAAAATCTGGCAGCAACTACCTTGAGAAATTAAACAGCCAAAATTTTAAAAGAGTAAGATAAAGCAATGGAAAATGCAAGCGGCAGAGCAGCCCAGTCTTATTTAATATTAAATTGTTTGCTTTGGACTGCCCCTACTTTCTCATTCTTCTGAAAGCCTTTCATTTGTATTGCTTGTGAAAAGTGTGATGCCAGCAGGAGTGATTTGGAAAGCCAAGTGGAAGTCATGAAGACGTATTTTTATGACATACATCACTTTTCTCCACCATTCTCCCTCATCCTTATTACTGGAACAGCTCTGTATTTTTAGCAAACTTGTCACCTCATTGATCCCTCCCTGACTCCTGTAGAGATCATTTACGAATATGCCCTGACCCCTAAATAAATCCAGTGGAGACCTCCCTCCATTGCAAGGAAAGAGTCTGCCTACGTTCTGTTTCTTGCCACTCCCAGTCACTCAGACATTGCTGTCACATTCCAGTACTTGATCTGATACTACAAGATATTTTAGCTTTCCAGAGAAATGGAAGAAGGGTTTGACCAGGGAGCCCTCTCTGTTGCAAAGATGATGTACTGTAAAATCAATACTCTGTTGCCTCTTTAAGTCAACATATGAAAAGATTTCTAAATCTCTCAGTTCACAAAAAACACCAACTCAAACCTTCTACAGCTTTCAGTTTGACCAACTTTTTTTTCCCTGTAATTGCCAGGAAATACACTGCACCCTGTGACCCCACACAACTAACTGGGCTACTCCTTCCACATCCCCACTCACTCAAAAGACATTCCTCACTCTAAGTTTCAACAGCTTATACCCTTACATAAAACATGGGACTAATTACTGGTCTACATTGGCTAAAAGCGTAGTAGAGAGAGGAATAAGAGAGGAAGGCAGCAGCTGGGATGTTGCAGACCTGAAAATACTGACTGGCTGGCACAGCCAGGGAGAAGTCATGCATAATTAAAAGCACTCGCTACTCATAATTTACTGAACTTGCAAAGATACAGAAGCTATTAAATTGATTTTAGCGTGGTGTTTTCATAAAATACTGAGAACTGAAAATATAGTCTTAAAATGCATTTTCACTAGTCAGGTGAGTAACATGTAGAAAACATATAAATATGTAACGTAACGTGTAAGAAAACTTTCCCTATGTAAAAAGATGGAAAATGAAAAAGTGAAGTTTCCTGCTTCCAGGCAAAATAAGCCTGCTTTGCTCACAGGTACACAATTATTTGCTTGTTTTTGTAATTATGGAAGGTGATCTTAATTTACAGGCCTTTTTTCTAAGATAAGGAACAATGATAAGAAGTAAACAGATTATTAGACCCTTCTTCATACACATTAAAAACTCTGATACTTTCCCCTCACTCAAAAGCTTCAGAGGTATTTAAACTCCAATAAGGCTTCACATTTCAACAGTTATACTTCATGAACGTACCATTCTTTAAAAAAACAACAAACCAGAACCAAGTAGTAGTAGGGATAGACTTCAATATTGGTATATTATTCATGGTCTTGAAATTAATTTGCTTTCTTTTGGCCACAAAGGTGTATCTCACAATATTAATGAATTCTGCCCCTCCATCTCTATAAATCATGGGGTAAACAGGAAGCTGACTTCTCTTTCTGTAAGCGACGGAGAAATGTACCCCTCCAGAAACTAAAATCATAGATACTTCTTTTGGTAAAGGCCACTATGATCTTATTCTGTAAACAGTTAATGTCACACAGAATTAAAAACCTGTGCATGAGGTTTCCATCTGCCTACATATTGTTCTACCTTAATACACAGGCAGATATAATACATAGATATGCTGATGATCATTCTAAACAGGCAAGCAGTGGGACAGATGCTACTCTGCACCATACCGTCACTTCCCTAAGCGTGGGTTCTATCTGGGTAAATGAGGACATCTACAACTGACCAAGCCTTTTGCAATCGACAGAAAGCTGGACAATGGAATTAAAAGTGTAGATCATCTCATTTGAAGCAGATCCTTGCATCTGATCTGACAAAGGGGTCTGGTGTTCCCATATTAGATTTCCAGTGAGTATAACTGGAACACAGACGGCAAGCTTAGATATTTGTACCTACACTGCAGATGCCTGAAAGTTAGGTAAATTCCATCCCAAGAAGCCATCCTGCAGCAGTAACCTAATCCAAATTGTGCACATGCTCTGTATTTTATCAAATTCAAAAATCTTCCCATTTTACAAAAACCTTAAATTCTGAGAAAGGAAGCAGCAATCACTGGAATCCGTAACATGGAAGGTAATATCTGAATACATCTGTCGTCATCAGTAGGAAGATACAGCACTAGTGTAAAGAAAAAGAGTGAAAACACCAAGGTCCAGTCTTGCAGATTTTCACTGGTGACTGGCGCTGGAGTTACACAACTGTTTAATTGAAGCAAGGCTGTATCTTCAGGGCTTACTCACCACTGAAGCCCCGCTTGTGCAACGGCTCCTACGGCCACTGATCCCCTGCAGCTGTGCAAATTGTCTGCAGCTATCACTACTTTGCAGAAGCTGATCCCAGAGCACTTCACTGCCTACACGCCTGAGCCAACAAGGTTTTGCAGTATCACACCCCACAAAATCAGTGGCAATTTTAGAAAAAAAAAGCCCTCAAAAAAAAAAAAAAAAAAAAAGAAAATGTTGTTCAGGTAGGTTTTAGGAATCTGTGTCCATAACTACAATCCAAAAGAACCCAGGACAGTAAGACAGGTCTAAATTTCTTTGGACCTTCTTTTTGCCACCTAAGTTGCTCTTGAGTTCAAATGTTCTTCAACCCACCTGCTGATGGGTATACAATTTTCCCCAGGTCAAAAGGAAAACAGACAAGGTACACAAAAGTAATACTTGACTGATGGCTCCCTGAGGAGAGGAGAGCTGGTCTCTGATCTCTTCTTAAACTTCCTTAAAATCACAAACCGTTTCTTGACATAGATATTGTGCATTTTTTCTCCTGGTACCCCAAATATTGAGGGTAGAAAGGGAGCAGTCTAGAGACTTATGCAGAGTACTGGAACATAGATATTTTGGTTCTTCCAGACAGAGGGAGAATTTATATGTACAACTTCCTCAACCATGAGGAATCAACAGATTTTTGTAAAAGGTGGATGTCATCAGTTCCTCTTCATTGCATAGCTATGCTTAAAACAAAGAGTAATTCTTGTTTTGTTCTTTCTCAGAATATATCCTCTCAAAAAATTTTTGGGAAAAGTTTTTTAAGTGGACAAGACCTTATCCTCTAGTAACAAGTTGTATAGATGAGTTTTGAAAAGAAGTTCAGACCTACCTTCTGAATCACTCCCAGAGAAGTGGTTGAGGGACCATCCCTGGAGGTATTTAAAAGACGGGTTGACATAGTGCTTAGTGACATGGTTTAGTGATGGTTTTTATCAGAGTTAGGTTGATGGTTGGACTAGATGATCTTAAAGGTTCCTTCCAACCTAGACAATTCTATGATACCACGATTCTCTCAGATTTTCCAACAGGTTAGCAGCAGTTTGCCAGAACACTTAGAGGGTTTTCATCTTGACCTCTCTGAATGGTATGGAAAGCCTACACAACCCTCTATTTTTCTGTTTTTCTTTTCATTATTTACTTATTCCAGCCAGGGAGAGGGGAGGGCACAGAAGTAACATCTACTGATTTACTGAGCGTAGTCCATGAGTCAAACCAAGCAGATGGCAACATGGACAAAAACAAGGCAGAAAAGGAAGAAGCTTTGCTCTGGTAAACTCTGCATAGAAATGCCTCATTAATAATCAACAACACTTATAATAAACTGGCTTAGCATAGTCTGGGGGGAAAAAGGGTTGAAAATAAAGACTAATCCTGAAAGTATTAGTATATGTACTGTACATAAGTAAGTAATCTTTCCAAAAGTGATAGTGTAGACTTGTGTGAAAAGACAAAAATAAGCATCTCCACTGGGGGGTAACTTGCTAGATAAAGGGACACTTAAAGCTTATAGAAGAAGTCTGATATGGAATTTGTGTAAGATAAGCTAAGTATGAAACTGTACTTACTGTGTAAAGCTCATTAAGAACTTTCATTAAGTCTTCGTGAAGCTGAAACGCAATCTCTTTGCTCTGTAATTAAAAAAAAATCATTAGAAAAAGGCACGCAAAAACTGCAACATACATTTGCTTCTTGATATTTGTACTCATTGTTCATCCTAGATTGCAAATGCAATATTGCCCGCAAACGACACCGTTCTGAGAGAATTACACTGCTCTAAAAATAACAATTTGGGGATGCAGAGGTAGATGGATAGCATCTGGACAGAAGACTTCTCAAAGGAAACCCAGAAGTAATTTGAGAGATTTTCTCATGAGGCATCAGGAAATTAGATGCCAACAGAAAGGGTGAAGTTCAAGATTAATGTTATAAGCCTTTTTCATGGAACAAACCATATACTGTTTTACAACTGCTATGATATATACAAAATCTAAACCACGTGGAATGTGATATTCTAGAGGGACACCCAGCCCAATTTTACATCTAGAAGTAGTCTTTGTTTCTCAGCACACGCAACTATCTAAATATTTATGCAAGAAATAATTGTGGCTCCGCTTTGAAACAGATACCCAATTGCAAAATATTGCACAGAGTGGGCTGCTGAAACAGCTTTGTTTAGCTTTTCTGGACTCTGTCTTTACTTTCATTCTGACCCAGAAAAAAAGAAATGCTTAGCAGTAGTTATTAAAGAAAGCAAGTATGTCAAAATAAGAGTATTTAATTGGAGTCTCATTCAAATATATTCCTTTGTTAGTTGTCCATAGCAGTTCAATCAGATGAAAATTGTGGCAACTGTGCAAGAGGCGTTTGTACCACAGCCTTTGGAAAACAGCTATAGAATAGAGCTACGGGACTTGGCAAACAGCCTGGCTATGTTTCTTCTGCGGTGCTCAGCATTGTAACATCCGTGCTGGAAATGTCAGCTTTTTTTTCCCTGTGAATAAATTGATAACTAGCCCGGTTTCTAAAAAACTCCAACTTCATGATAGATAATGGCCTTCGCTATGGAAGTACTTTGTATTTGTAGAGAAGCCAAAGGAAAATCCTCAGGGACAACTCATCTCCAAAGCTGCTAACACATACTTGGCCATCACTAAAACACCTGCAGGAATAATGGTTTCTGAATGAGAATTTCCAGTGCAACGCCCACGTATGAGGAGGAACCATGCCACGCATCCCACCCACTGTGTCTTCCAGGAGGATGAAACAGAGACAAACAGTAGCTGGAGCAAAAAACTTTGATTTTTTTCTTCTATTCCTACTGTTATACTCCTAACTCTGGGCAGTGTTTTAAGGAACCTGCCATATCACTTACCAGTATTCACTCCAATCCTTACATGCAAGATGATTTTTAACTAACAAGAAGCTAGAAGTGGAAATCACAAAACACTTCAGTGAAATTTTTGTATTCCCAAGGGCATTAGCTGTAGTAACTAAGGCACAGTGAGACAGATGCTCTGAAGCCAAGTTACAAAGAACTACTGTGAAACTTTCCTCATTGCTAATACTTTTCAAAGTCTGGTATTTTTCAAGAGTTATGCTCTACTACTGAAGTATCTAGAACATAAAGCTTACTAATTCCATTTATTTGCAAATATCAGATTATTTTCACCTAACATGAAGGACAAAAATTCATATGCCTAACAGTGCACAGAGTGCTTGTAAAGAATTGGAAAAAGACTGCTGATTTGCAAGCTGCTGTAGGGAAACACAGTAAAAGCTTTAGCAAAAATTCTGAATTGCTTTTCATTGCTTTACATTGGCAGCCTGCCTTTAAAAATCAGCAGTGCAGCTCTGAGACAGCTTACACATCTCAAAGCTCCAAGAAGCAGAGGCCACCTGTTTTCTCTTGGATAGCTGCTTCTACAGTGCTGAATATGAGAGGTCTGGTTTTTAAATTACTTTAGCAGAAAGAAGGACAAAACATACAAATAAGATGGTTGACATTAAGACTGGAGGATGAAAGCATAAACGTGTGGGAAAAAAGCTGTAGATGAACTCCAGCTTCAAGCAATTTATTCCTTTCAGCTGTTGGTCACTACCATCTCGAAGCTGATGACAACTCAAGTGTCTATTTGCATTAAGGTGTAACTGAAGAGCAGAAAAGACACCAGATGAGTTGAGGATTCTGGGAATGATCACTATTTACTAGGACCCATTTTTTCTCTTTGCTCCTGTAGAGCTTTGCCCAGCCTTCAGGTTTTACTGGCTGCCATGCATACATGATCTTTTCCAGGCAACACACTGATCAATGGTAAATTTGAAGGTGAATGAAAGAGATCACAATGTAAAGAAGAGGGAGATGTTTTTAGGAAAGGACAATAGGCTTTAAAATGGGAAGCAAATAGTGAGGGAGGGAAGTGATCAGCAAAGAGAGTAAAAATTAGGAAGAGAGAACCCAGCAATGCCACATAATCACAGATGAGTCATTCTTCCACTAGTTCATCTGGGGACTCCAACCTGCAGAGGGTGCCTATAGTGATGGATAACCTGTCAGTTGCTGCCTCTTTCTGATGAAAGATTTTGTAGGAATTGTCCAATAAAAAATCAGGAAATTTGGTTAACCTTAGCAGTATAAAAGGGATTTATTTTCAAGAACCAACACATTTTACATTAGCATTTAGGATCAAGAAATACTGACTCGAGTGGCAAGCGATACGGCTTTTAGCCTGTAATATATTGGAGCACCAGATAAGAAGTGCATTTATTTTCAGTGGTTAATGGCTCTCCTATTTCTCTTTTATGCTACCTCTTCCCTGCAATAGTTCAGCATGTTTGAAAGCTGTGCTCCTATAGGAGCCTAGCCTCAGGGTAGCCAAACCGCAGAATGTAAGATGCAGCACACATCTTCCTGGAGCTAAGTTGATAGCTCTAATGAGGCCATTAAAACATGACAAACAATCACCGAGGTGCTTCTTTATTCACTATGTCCTACAGAAATTATCAGCATCTATTAAGCAAAAGAACAAAAAACATAATGAAAATGTTAGAGCACATGTAAACTCTTGCTTAAAATATTATATATGTTACTAATCCGGTTCAAAGCATTAAGAGACAGTAGCGCATTTTTTTCACCTCATAGTAGGGTAGACCATGCCCATGCAACAGACAAGTGTACCTAAACCAGCCTTTCAGCATGTGCTCAACCTTCAACACATCAGTGGTCCTACTGACATTATCAAGACTCATATTTATGGATTAATGTCTGAGAAACTTAAAATTTTATTCCACATTAATACCCTTTCATTGACGTCTGTAAGAATTTTTCCATCCATTTCAGTTAGAGCATAATTGGGCACCCCAACTTTACTCTTTTGTGTGCTTGTTTTTTTTTTACCTGAAATTTAATAGTCGGTTCAGTTCTTCCTGGAACTCTTTAGTGTCTGTATTTAGCACACACAATGCTACACTCGGTTACATCATTTAGGGAAAATATTCTGTGACTATTGCTTTTAAATGAATCTGCTGCTGGTCCCTGGGGTAAGTGATGTGCAAACCCTTCTTTTAATGAGCTTTCATGAGCTGCGGTGACACTGACATACCCAACTCATAGTAAAATTTTGTCCCAGATTTGCCAGTCTATAGCAACAAATAGCTTTGCTATCACTTTAAACCTTTAAATGTTTAAGAAAATCATACAAAAGATCTCTATATGTGCTACAATCTTTAAAATGTCAAATAGATTTGGCAGATAGTCATATTCCTTGTTAATAGCCAGATTATGGAACTAAAATATTTATTGTGCTTGGCTTCTCCAGCATCTTTTACTGTAAACACTGGAAGATATGTTCATCTTGGCTCATTATGGTTTCTGTCCAAAGAAAATACATGTTTATTAATTATAAATATACAAATCTGCTTAAGGATTTTGTGGGTATGTGTTTACGCAGTTGATTATTAATGCTGGGGTAACCAGAATCACTGCATGAAATGTTCTGCATAATACTTTTCCCTTCTGCTTGACATTTTTCCTTATTACTTTACTCTTTAATTGTCCCCATGAGGCCATCTACCCCATCTGCCTGAAGAAACATGCAAGTATGCAAGGTTTGAACTCTGCTACTTTATGTTTGTAATTTTATGTGCAGCATGAAGGCCAGGCATGAACAGCAATCTGTACTGCTTTTATATGCCAGCAACTAAAAAGAAGAAGAGCTTAAGTGCCTATCTGGAAGTATGAGACCTGACATAATATCATCAGATAAATGCCACAAATTCTCTGAACTAGGTCCTATCTTTGTCTTGCATTTAGTACGTTTAAACAGATGCTGGTTCCTGACCCCTGGAAAAGAGAATGACAAAGAGCTCCCGGGAGAATAAAAATAATGAATATCTATATGTTAAATGGGTCAGCTTAGACAGGAAAGCCATGTACAATCAGGTACCTGAATGCAATATATCCTGGCCCATGAGAATACGTAAGGTAGAACCAATAGGGATCATTTCACCAAAGCAATCCAGACCAAATGTTTAGGTGCACGCAAAAGGAAGAACCAGAATGAGGGAGAACACAGTGAGACAAGGGCAAGGTAGAAAGACAAAGGGGTACAGACACCCCTCATTACTGTATTTCATATAGATCAACACTGGGTACTGCATACACCTTTTACAGAAGGACTAGAGAAAGGGGTTGCTACAGACTCGTGACTTTGTGCTGTATCCCACACAGGAGACATCAGCAGGACAGGGAACAAAACAATACTCTACCGGTAAGCCAGGAAATGAGGAAATCGTTTGATCTTTTCATTACTACAATTCAAGCTGAAGCCAATCTTAGGATAGCACACAAACTGTATCCCTCTAGAAAATGCTGGGCTTACGTCATGGAAAGGTTTCATTTGAGGACCAACGTGCCCAGCAGTGAGGTGGAAAAATCCAGTAAAGCCACCACTGAGAAGCAAAATGGGCAGCCTCATCCTCTCGGGAGGAGAGAGCGGGAGAAAAAAGAGGGAGCAGAACGAGCCAAGAAGCTCAAAGGGACTTTGCTGCTGTCTCACCATATCTTGCTTGTGAGCAATGTGGCAATCCACTCTGAGACACTTTGCCTGTCTGCAACAGGCAGATTGCAGGTTCAGAGCAGAACAATGGAGATCTGCTCTGATCACAGACTTGGAAGTCTGATCTCCAGGCTTGGAAGTGGAGCTAAAGCATCTCCAAAGATGCAGAAGCTGCTGCTGCAAGACCAAGGGAGAACTAAAGCAAGATGATAACAGTGATGCATAACTCTACTATTTAAATAAACTGGAAGATATATAATTAAATTATTTAATTATTGAATGTAGAGAAGCTTGATTAGCTGGTATTTAGAAATTACTTAGAAAGACATGAAGTGCCCCTATGTGCAATGCTGTGAGAGCCAATGGAGTACAGATATGTCAGATGGGTGTATTTTCTGCTCTTTACCATGGACTGCAGTAAAATATTAAGCATGCACTTGTTAGTCTTTATTTTTGAAATCTTCATATTACTACTGTTCTTATTATTTACATTTATTACTTGTAAGAGAGAGAGTACATATTTCACAGAACAGTATGATCAGACTCCAAAGTAGAAGTATCTGCAGGATATGGTTTGTCTCTATTTTAACCTGAAATCTGAACAGCGAACGGTGAACAAATCCCATATGCTTTCATAGGGATGACACCCACTGAGACTGATTAAACTTTTCTGCGACAGAATTTTATTCCAAATCCAGTCTTTTTCAAAAGTAACCTACAGAAAGTGAAAGAAATTGGTTAAATATTATGTTTGATGTTTACAATTCTCCAACAAATTCTGCACCACTTTCTTTAGGGAGAATACAATTTTGATGGAGGAGTGTGTTGGATATCATCTTTCTCATTCTAAGTGCACCTTCTCTTTGCTCCTGTGTCCTCTTTCCTGCAAGGGGGACTGTAGTACAGGACATGTGTGTTTTGCACCTAATCTCTTTCTGTTGCCTGGAGGATGTCTATTAAGCATTTCTGAGATGATCTGTGACATACCTTAAGTTAGACTGCTCATTCACATCCAACAGAAATTATCACAGAATCATAGAATGGTTTGGGTTGGAAGGGACCTTTAATGACTCTTATGGTTGAAGCTGGCCATTTGGACTAAGCATAGACAGCTCATATTCTTCATCAGTAAAGCAAGACAATTTGCTAACAGCTTCATCTCCTACATCGGTCTTGTTTTTCTCTCTGTCCAATGTTGTTCACTTCATTTTATAACTCCCTTTCCTTTTCAGAGAAGAAAAACTGGAGCTTCATCATTATTCAAGTTATAATCAGTTCTGCAGCTGGAAACTAACAGCAAATAAATCACCAGTGCTCTGCAGCAAGCACCACAGCAAGAACTGTGCACACTGGGACTCAGTGAAATACTAACCTTCTCCAACAAGTATTGATTCCTGACGACTATCCTAAATATGAGTGCTCAGAATCGATACTGGTGAACAACCACCACCACATTCAGGCCACGTGCCCATGAAGCTCACTTAGGCCTTGCTGAGGTGCCATGTGCCTTCTTGCCACCTTTCCCCTCATGTTAGTGGGCCTGGCTCAGATCCCTTCACACAGCCTTGGGTGAGCTCATTCTGCCCGTGTTCCACCTCAGCTAACTGCTGCGTGGTGTGACACTGTCACGATGGGTGTCAGCTGGCAAACCCCACCAAAAGTTTGGACAGGGCTGCTGAGGATCTGGGCTCCACTAGTGTGAGCTCCAGGTTATGAGCTCCAGGTCCAGCAAGACTCCCTCAATTTCCTTTCTCTTCCTTCCCCTGCAGAGGATCCATGTTAGGAATAAAAAAGCAAAAGCAGCTGCTTTCTTTTCTTCAGGGAGCTACGCTAGAAAAAGGAAATTTGAAATGTTGCATGTTCCTTGGCACAATATGGAGAAAAGAGACGAGTCTGTCAGGAAGGTGGGACAATACGCCTCCTGTTAATGCACTGAAAACATCCACACATTTTCCTCCTTCTGACAGTAAGCTGCAGCAATCTCCATTAACAAGTTATGAGTGAATAAAGAAGGACAAAGACTTCCCCACAGAAAGCTTTCTCAGATAGTTTTGTACAGTTCATGTGGAAAAATGGAAGGAAAAGCAAGATTTCCAGTGCTAAAGAGCTGGACTACACTGAAAGCAAACAGGCTAGTCTAATAAGGCACATCTGATAAAGAAGAGTCTTCTGAGATATGACATAAATAACTTAAAAATTATACCAGTTCAATACCAAAAAATTTCTACTGGTCCAAGCGAGTCCACATAGACAGTACTGCAGCATGTTCCAATTGCTTTTCTCATTATCTTTTCAACTTCCACAATAATCTTCCGCATTACTAAGTTTAGTGGTTTGTGAACTACAGTTCCATGCATCAGACATATTACATGAACAGACCATTACTGATTGAGGAACTATACATTTCAACTCTATTACTGTTACAGGTTTTAATGCACACCAATAAATTTGATTCATGTTTTTACTTTTTTTCCTCCAAGTACAACCTATGTGCTCCCTGAATGATTCTTCTCCCCACCCAGTTGCTATCTGTCTAGCATTATATGTGAAATCAGTTCCCTATTTTGAAAACATTAGTCTGGTACCCTTGCCATCACTTAGTCATACACTTTGCATTCTTTAACTTCTATTTTTTTTTAACTTTGTATGATGCTTGCCTACCAGCACCCCACTGTAGCTGACGGATGTGCATTTATAATCTATTTTTACTTTGGAACATTATAACAACAATGATTGCAAACACATTACGTAGATCTCAAACCCAGGCTGCCTAGAGTGCTTGCTTAGCACAAGAGGGATTTACACATTGTATGTGCTATGAAAACACATAACGGGCACATACAAGGACAAACATATACAGAGACAATGCTTAAATGGTCTAACAGAAGTAGTTATGTTTTCAAAAGCTGAAAGGAAAGGGAACACTTTTAGGAGACTCACAGCATATACTACCATCTTTACGCCAAGGCACTACATGGCACACCCTTACTTTGGCTTGAATCCATTTCTCTCATGACAGAGTTTCAAGGAAATACTGTTTTACAAATAATTCATTAATACAGCATTACTATTTTGGGAGCCCTAAGTGAAGACTGTTTCCTTTCTGCATGGGTAGACGAGCGTGCTTTTGAGAGAACAGGCTTTTTTTCCCCTGCCTTTTGGATACTTGTGACTCAGCCCTTAAGGTCACCGGCACATACAGCACATTCCCAGGCATTTCAGCACTAAGGATTTGCTCTGCGAGAACAGTCATGAAGAATTTATATGTGTGCTAAAACAGATTTTATGCTACGTGTGCTGAATCTTCTCCTCAAATGCTACCTATTAGGACACTTTTGCCTCCCTCATGCATCTTACAAGGCAGATGGAGGACTGCAGAAGAGGCATTACCTTCTTGAACATTCTGGTGGAGTCTTCACTTATCTGCATGAACCGCATGATCACGTTGTTCAGGTAGATATCACTCAACGTCGCATGGTCTTTGCTTTCTCTTCTCACTTGGTTCAGGAGTAAGTACCAGCAATTCACTGGTGACAAGAGGTTCTGGTCTTTCCTATGGAGGAGATACACATGTGTGATGTATAGAAATGAAAAAGTTACATTATTAACACAAACATCTCTCAGACATTTGCAGTCACAACTTCTAATGTAAAAACGGCTGCTTCTGAACAATCTGTTCTTGGAATAGTTTGGGTTAGGCAAGCTTCAGATCACTCTTTTAAGACACATTCTACAAATCCCATGAGGCAGGGACACAAAAATATCGGAAAAACGTAAGAATTCAGAACATTGCAAGCCACCTGAGAGTATAAAAAAAATCCTGCCACAAAGCTTACAGGTGGAACCCACGTAAATGTTCAAAATCAACAAAGGTCACTGCTGAAAGCGTAACAGTAATGAATTTTTGAAATTAGAAATAAACTAGCACTGCAAGAGGATCCCAAATCCTTCATGACCAAAATTGCAGGTGTAGCTATTTCAATGCAATGCATTTGTGCAACTGCTGTAAAAATAGAAGGAAATGTCGCATGTGTACATATTCTGTGATCAGCATTCATAAATTCACAGCACTCATAAATACACTGCTACTGCCAGTCCCAGATGGTTCAGTTACAAGACAAGCAGCAGGACTGGACTTTTTCTGCAGCCGTCCAGTTCTGAATTTCCTTGACAGACTTTTTGCATTGTAGGCCCACTCCAAGCTTTTAATATTCCAAAAAGCGGAATCCCAGATAACTTCTTGTTTCTTTTACACAAAGTAAAATAAAAATACATGTAGTTCAATAACTGTTTCACAGGCAACAAAAACCTATTGATAAAATTTGCCTTACGATTTTGTTGAAATTTTCAAGTTTGCCTTGCAACTAAGCGCTCTAGAAACTTGCTGCCCTTTTTTTTCCTCTTGCGCAGGGATTCTCCTATAGTCAAAGGGATCAATCACGTGAAGATAAAACAGCCAAGGGTGGTGATGAATTAAGGGAGAAACTCCTTGAACTCTTGGTAAATTGCTCTAATAATTAACTATTCTCACTGTTAGAAATATGCTCTTTAATTCCTCTTCTAATTATCTACCTTTAGATTTTACTCCCAGAATCAAAGGAACAATGATTGATTACAGACAAAAGCCTTTTCTTAATCATCACTGCTTTGCTTTGCTTTGCTATGAATCAGAAGTGAGTTGAGGAAACTTCCCCATTTTGAGATGGATCTCAACAGTATTACTCACAGCAATGAGCTTCAGGGTTTTGTTAGCCAGGTCTGCCACAACAAGCACCCATGAAGGGCCATGCTGATATTGATCCTCACTGCTTCTGCATGTCCCAAAGCCAGTCCTATAGACCTTCCTGCCTGTTCTGGGGGAAATGTGGGAACAGCATGGGGGACCACCAGTTAAGGTGACTTTTGCTGCAACCTCTTCTCAAAGCACTCAGAGAATTGCAGAACGGAGCCGAAGGCAGGACTCCAGCCATGACCCACGTGCACATCTGCCAGTCTGGATTTAACACATGTTTAAGAATAAGGAAGGATGTTTGCCTGCACAGGGCAAAAAGACTTTGCCACAAGCTGAACAGAAGGCAGGGTGCTCTCTGAAGTGGTGACATATGCACACACTGGTTATTTCAAGGAATCATTGAGTTACTTAACTGAATTTTAAGAAATACATGTTATTGCTCTTTGAACTGTGCAAGCTGTATTTGGATTAACCTTTCCTTTGCCAGATGTGTTTAGAAAAGACTTTTCTCTTTAAACAAAAGCTCTGTCTGTGTATCTATAGCACAGCACTGACTGGACAGTGGAAAAAGGTACTTATTTTTCAGTTTTACAAACACAAATCACAGCATCATAGAAACATTTAGGTTGGAAAGGACCTTTAAGATCATCAAGTCCAACTGTTAACCTAGTACTGTCAAGTCCACCTCTAAACCATGTCCCTCAGCACCACATCTACATGTCTTTTAAATATCTCATGGGATGGTGATGCAACTATTTCCCTAGGCAGCCTGTTTCAATGCTTGACAACCCTTTTGGTGAAGAAATTTTTCTAATATCCAATCTAAACCACCCCTGGTGCAACTTGAGGCTGTTTCCTCTTGTCCTATAACTTGTTACTTGGGAGAAGAGCCAAACCCCCACCATGCTACAACCCCCTTTCAGGTAGTTGTAGAGAATAAGGTCTCTCTTCAGCCTCCTTTTCTCCAGGCTGAGCAACCCCAGCTCCCTCAGCTGCTCCTCATAAGACTTGTGCTCCAGACCCTTCACCAGCTTCATTGCCCTTCTCTGGACCCACTCCAGCACCTCAATGTCTTTCTTGCAGTGAGGGGCCCAAAACTGAACACAGTATTTGAGATGGGGCCTCACCAGTGCCGAGTACAGGGGGATGATCACTTCCCTAGTCCTGCTGGCCACACTATTCCTGATGCAAGCCAGGATGCTGTTGGCCTTCTTGGCCACCTGGGCACACTGCTGGCTCATATAAAGATGGCTGTTGACCACCACTCCCAGGTCCTTTTCCCAAGCCAGCCTTCCAGCCACTCTTCCCCAAGCCTATGGTGTTGTGTGGGGTTGTTGTGACACAAGTGCAGGACCTGACACAAAATACTGTTTTATATGCCTAAGCATAACAGGGCCAGGCAAATGCATTCATTAATCAGCTTAAGTCAGGAAAATAACCACATGAGACTATGCCAACAAGTAATGCATTTGAAACACTTTAGAAAATATGCTGTGCACATGTTTTGCCAGATGTTACCTGACCACTTCTGTTTTGCACACAAATTACTATGCCACGAAAGGGATACATTAATGTAGTAGCAATGGTTAACGTGGGTGAGGGGGAAGGAAATCTCTCTTACTTGTACTGCTGATGGTCCTTTGTACTTCTTGTTTTTGCCATGAACCTCTCCGCCAATTTTTCCAAGTTTCTGGAATACTCCATCTCTATTTCTGACTTCTTGCGGAAGAAATCCTGCAGATCCTGAAGAAGCTGCACTCTCATTTCAGTCTGCTGCTCCAGGCATTTCTGCTGCTCGATGAGTTGAGCTCGGATCTCTAATGAAAGAAGCCATATCCACTCAGATCAGTGAAAGCAAATGAGAATTGAGTGTTACCAACCAAAATTACAAACACTCCACGGTACTGCAGCCTCTGCAGCTACACCAGCTGGATCTGGATTTCAGGTCCTGTGGTGGGATAAGGCAGTGGCAGCTCTCGCTTCTACCACCACACATCCCAGGCCACAGCACCATCCCACCCACTGTCTGTCTCACAAACAGCTATGGCAATGGCTTAGGACTCTGCTGGGCTCCCATGAGCAGAATACCTGCCTCCCCTTTCCTCTCCCATCCTCTTCCTGGCATTAGCACAACATCTGTCTCGGAGTGATCTCCTTGCAGGAGGTAGTGTGCAACCATCTGGGCAGCAGCTCATTCTGTTGCCCTGAAAAACGGCAGGCTGAACAAGCAACCTTTGGGGCCAGGATCAGCTGCTGACTGCCAGGTGGACCATGATGGTTGGTATCATCACATTCACCATGGGAAGAACCTTGTGATAAACTCTGGAGGTGTTATCCACCATAAAACTGTGCAGGGATGAGCTTCCATGTCTGCCCCATCTCTGCCAGGGAGGGCAGAGTTTACTATACAAGCATTCACCAATATTTTACAGCAAATATAGAGGAAAAAGTGTACCTATGTTTAGTGATAGCTATTTGAAAAATTGCTCAATGTTCCAGAGACTGAGGTCTATTTATTAACATTAAAAAAAAAACCAGTCAATTTAGAAGAGAATATATGCTCTCAGTGATTGTGTAGAAGAACAGGCAAAAGCCTCCAGTTTTCTTACCACTGGATCGTATGCTGTTTGCCATATGCACAATTGCTCTGTGGTCAGGTTTTTCCTTTAGGTTTTTGGTTTTGGTACTTTTGTTTCTTGAGAGCTAAGCAGTTAATCACATTCCGGGAACATTTAGTCTAAAAACATCCCTCCGGTTCTTTTGAGAGATTGGTTCATTAGAGTTTTGTCAGCTGCCCAGGCACACTGTAATCCAACATTGTGGAGTAAACACAGGAATAAACATTTTGTGACTGTAATGTATGTATATGTTTTTAAAACAGTTTAATGTTATGACAAGGACTTATCAATAGCAAAATCATATGCCAGAAGTGATGTCCACGTAAATACAATAATGATGGAACCATGCTGTGGGTAAGAGGGTGCTGAAAATCTTAGATGCCCCATTGATTCAAAACAGAAAAGCATTCTAAAACCCAGTGCTAACATCACAGGAAACTGAAACCAGTAAGTAGTAATAGCACCGCAATAAAGTATCTGATGCAGCTAGGGACTAAGGCATGCTTACTGATCTTAAACCAGGTACAGAGGCAGAGATCCACTCTGCTGGGATTCAAGCAATGTGCACACTGAAATAAGGTAGGATGAGCACAGAAATCTGCTAAGCCAATATATTTACTGGAGGAGGGAGACGTTGCAGTGTTTTCTTCCAGCTCTCCTTTGAGCAACCAGCTGCTGGGTTAATCATTAATGAGACCATCCATTTTTATAGTCTGGGAGGTGAACCAAAAAATTCACGGTCTGGTTTTCATTTCATTTCAAATCAGTTCGTTAGAAAAGGACCATGCCTCCAGCAAGGATGAGCCAGTGTAATACAACACTGTATCAATGACATTCATGTACATAGAGAAGAAAATCACAGTGAAGCTGGAAGGTTATTCACAGAAACAAAACCCCAGAGCTGCTTTTTTGGGTGTCCTCTGCTTTTTACTATTGGATTCATGAAAAATTCCTGCATATAGGAAACCAGTTTTAGGGATTCACTGATTGGAAGCAGCAGTTGTGCCCATAAACTGGAGTTTTGACTAAATCAAAATCCATGTACATTGTCCCTGCACTTTGGCCATCTCCCTTCCCCACGATAGATTTTCCGCCAGTTACAACTTTAAAAGCAGAGCTCTGTATAGAGCAACTATGTTCTGACTATTTTGTAGGTCAGTGGATCTTGCTGCTATAATTCTTCCTTTTTAGGCTGGCTTTTACCATAGCAACAGGAGAGAGAAAGATTTTAGAAACAGGAATATATGAATAGAGATATGGGAAACAATGAACAAGGGACGATGGATACAATCTGAGAAATTGCAATAGCTTTCTGATGCTGTCTGGACTTCCAGTGGACGGTAGTGGCTTCCTTCAAACTTGTATATTAGAAAACAAAATTGGAGCATGATCTCTGAAAGTTGATGGTGGCTGGAGGTGTCCAAACTCTGAGTGAGGTGGTAAGTTAGGGGTACAGGGGGATTGCAGCCTTATGAAGGAAGTTCCACAATTTCTGGCTATTTGAATCTCGGTAAGGAGAAAGAATGTGCTGGTTCCAAAAAGCTGAGCCTCTGGCCTCCCGCTGGAGGAGAAAGAGGGGAGATGCACACACCCCTCATGCCAGCTGACCAGAGTCTGTCCAGAAGAGACTTCAGCATAGCAGTTCTCCTTCCAGTCTTTCATGTCCTTCTGCTTCTGCACTTATAAATTCTTCTTTTACTAATAATGTGTGTAATGCCATACTGGCAGTCTGAGGAGATGGCAATGAATAAGAAATCAGATTAGCAAATGTTGTGTTTTTCACTTTCTGATAAGAGAAAGCTGTGGATTTGTAAAAAAACCCCCAAAATAAACCAAAACCAAAAAAAACCCAACCCAACAAACATTGGCATAACAGCCAGCCAGTCTGAATAGCCGTGCTTTACAAGACCATAACTATCCAAGTCCTATTAACTAGCATAGACTACCCATTACCTACTGCTATGGAAAAATGCACCAAGTCAGCACTATCTTCTTTAACCAATCCACATGCGTGATTTCCCTGGGGCTATAAAGATCAGCACGGAAAATTGTTGTACTATATTCAAGGAAATAAATACCCAATACACCAAGAAGGTGCCAAGTTAAAAACTAGTAAAGCCCAAACACCGCAGACATAGAGACAGGTGCAGCAGGCAACAGAAGGGCACCTGTCCTTACTCTATTTTGCTGGTACATTTAAATTCAAAGTCACTCTGATACCAGCTGTAATGGACAATGACATTGTCCTATTCTGCTCTGTGGGGTGGCTGATGTCAAATGATTGCCAGGCTCTTTTGTGCCAGGAACAGGAACGTTTAAACCGTGGATGAATTAACACCTTCTCCTTCTCTGTACAGCAGCTTTGAGTCCCACTCACTGGTTTTCTGGCCAAGGTTCTGGCCAAAGGCTGGTTCAAAGGGAATTCCATCCATTTCCACTGCAGCTTAAACAGGCTGAATTCACATCAAGTGGAAAAAAACCCCTCATCCTTTGTCCAAGATTTGCACACATGAACAACGCAAGGAAGCAGCTAATGTAATTAAACCAATTACCTCTGAGTAAAGTTTTATTTCTAAAGATTCTCATGTTAAAAATTATTTCAAATTTATGCCGTCATTGACACCATCCTCTAGAATTACTGCATTAAGTATAAAATTAGGTTTTGTTTATGGCAGCTTTCAAGATTTAACTCTAACCTTTCAATAAATCTTTATTTTCTTCTGACAAGAGGTTAAATCAGTGCACTATGAAAAACAAAGAGAGAGACAAGAGAAACAAGATTATAGCTGTTTTGAGAGTTAAGTATAGAGTGGATGAAGCTGAACTATTGACATCACCCAAATCATGATCAGAAATAAACTCATCAAGGTCACCTCATTGCACACAGTACGGTATTACAAATAATGACTTAGCACTGCATTAATGCACCATATTACCGTGCAGAAGATATGTGTAACCAGTTACAGGCCAGTGCCCCACCTGCAGGCACTTGTGGTGAGATATACTGCAATGTGACACACAACGATGATGCTGGTCACACACCAGCAAGGAACAAAACTCATCACCTTTGCTTCCACATGCACCAAAGCCCTGGGCTCCATCAAACATTCCAGAAAGCCATGAGAAATCCCTCTCCTGACCTCAGAAGCCATACATTTTGTCAATACGCAGTATTAACCCCCTGCCAGACCAAAACTTTGCATGCAGACTGCCCCCCACTGCAACGCCCACATCCCTGCTCTGCAATGCTACAGGGCTCCTGCCGTGCCACACAAGGCTGTGCCTCATCTTGCCAGCCCTCAGAGACCTCCCAGACCACCACGAACCCTCATTACCAACTCTACACCAAAGCTACACCAATGAGTGCTTCGTGGTGCTGTCATATGCCTGATATGAGCTGCTTCCTGCCCAAGCCACCCCAAGAGCTGTTTCAGCCTGCCACTCTTAACTCCCCTTTAAATGGAAATAACTTTCACGCTCACATGGGTTTTGGTGTTTGCTCCAAGCTCTGGAAAGTGCTGCAGAGTCAGATACCTCTGCTTGGTCACCCCCTCAGCTGCACTGCAAGCCTCCTACCTCCTGCCTCATCCTGCCCAGCAAGGAGCTATATTTAAGTCATGATTACAATATACAAACTATGCAGACACATTAATCCAGTAGTATTACTGGATAATAATACAAACAGCCCCAGGGCCCCATCCTGCAAACGATTACAAAAGCAAGCAGCTCGTCAGAACTATTTGAGAGCACAAATAGGCTCTCACAAGACATAGTTATATTTGCAGGTTTTATCTGCTCGGGTAACTTCAGACAAAGCTGTATTACCTCCCATCTTTATTTAAATGTGTCCTTCACAAATCAATTAAAATTTTAGATTAGTTTTAAAACACTCAGAAATGTCTCCTCAAATGCACTAAGGACATGACAAGCTATCTTAGACTTTTTATTTCCAAACCCTTACAACTGAGTCATTTTTTTACCCCAGTGAGCTACTAACACACATGTCCCTCATTCTCACATTTATGATCATATCCAGATCATATTCCATAGGAAAAGATTCAGACCTTAAAGTCATCTGGTTACTGACATGCACTTGTAATTAAGCAGATATTGGAGCATTAATCATCTTGCAGTTCCTCCTTGAAGGCACTTGTGTCTTACGTGCCTCTCCCTGTGCCTCCGTTACTTAGTGTAGGAACGGCTCATCCCTGAGGCTGCTGCTTGAAGCTGGGGTGCTGCATTGGGGCACTGATCTTTGCACTTTCATCCCAGCCTTCTGCCTTTGTGAGGACCTGCTTTTTGACTTCTCTGTTGAGATGGGCAGAGCTTTGGTCCAGCTGAATTCAGCTGGCGAACATCTGCACTTCAGGTTTCGTTTCAGGAAAGTGCTTAGCTCCAGCCCACCAAGGATGCTGCCAGCAGAGAAACCACAGCAGGAATCACTGAGGGGGCCCTGAAAGTGCCCCTGTGCAGTTAGTAGTCCTTAGTGTCATGTCATCCCCAGGATCAGCACTCCCACACCTGCTGGGGACGTTAAACTGCCTCTCAGCAGACAAGATAA